GTAAGCCGAGACGGAAGTCTTGTCGCAACAGCTTGTAGAGCTAGTTCCATCGACCACGCCGTTATACGTTTGTACGACACGAAAGAATGGCTAGAAGTAAAACCCGCACTTAAGGCACATTCACTCACCGTTACCGCTCTGCAGTTCTCGCCGGACGACAAATATCTTCTTAGCGTTGGAAGGGACCGACAATGGGTGATCTGGGAGCGCAGCGATGAGCCATCGCTGTACACGCTCAAGTACTCGAATCCAAAGGGCCATTCGCGTATGATACTAGGTGCTGCCTGGACACCTCTTGAAGTACCCACATTCATGACTGCTGGAAGAGACAAGAGTGTCAAGATATGGCAGATCGTTGACAATGATGTGCAACTCAAGGCTACCGTACCAGCTAATGCCGCCGTTACTGCTGTGTCATGTAACAACGTGCTACCTGGTGGTAAAATTATGTTTGCCTATGGTACGGAAAATGGAGAGATCGGCATTGTAAACACTCCATCAGATGCTTTGGACAAGGTAGAAGTGTCTATGGTCAAAGCGGAGTTAGCACCCGCAAAGACGATCAACCAGATCGTCTGGCGGCCTGGAAGAGCCGATGGCGAGCAACAACAGATTGCAGTAGCGAGTGATGATACCTCGTTGCGTGTCTTCAACATCTCGCAAGAGGCATCGTAGCAATAGCAGAAGATTTCAGGAACGTGTTACATGTCGACAGTTGAATTTGATCAAAACTTTACACTATTACGCATGTTTTGCTGGGGTATCTCGCCAAAGAAAATCATTTCCTTCAATTTTTCCACAAACAATCCTGTATCTCGTGCTTGATGTTCAAGCGTAACGTGCCCCCGCACTCTTCTCATTGACCGGTGCCACAGGAGGCATTCCAGGCTTGGCCATCGGGTACTGTCCAGGCGACATGCGCTGTTGAGGCTGCATCATCTGTGGATGTTGTCCGAATTGCTGCATCTGTCCCGGTCCTTGCTGCATATACTGGGGTTGCATCGGATATCCCTGCTGGTTCGGTGGCATCTGATAGTACATGACTTGTCCTGGTTGCGGCTTCATATGGGCCTGCCCTGGTGGGGGCACAATAGCGCCATTGGTGATCATGGTCTGTACGATGTTGGCAGCAATCTTCTCTGCGTCCTTGCTGGTCTTGCTGCGGTTGTGGCGATGGCAGTCGACGCAAGCCCACACGAAGAGGGCGAAGTGAATAACCAATCCGAAGAATTGGCATACAACACCTGTCAACGTAGTGTTTGCGCGTGTCCCTTTCTCCGCCCAAAGCTTGTTAACATAAGCGTCCTGCTCTTCGCAGTTGTTAAATCCGTAGTAATCACAGTCCCGCGGGGAGTTGACATAGCTCGTGTCTTGTTCCCATACCCACGTGCCGTTGGAGGCCAGAACATAGTCTCCACCACCAGAACCATAACTATATCCATCAGGTCCACCATATAAACCGTAATCCAACACGTCTCGGAACGCAAAAATAGCAAACATTGCTGTTATAATGAAGGCAAGCCACAGCAGAAGATCCATCGTTACACGAACACCAGGGTGCACAGGCCGTTTGCGCACAATAAAGACGATCATGCAAAGCGCGACAAAAGCTACTGAGACGGACCAGGTGATTAGACCAGGCCAGACTGCGTAACTGTTGTAACCGAGATAATAGTAGTCGTTGTTGGTGTACAAGTCCGTGGTCATCAAGTAGGCAAAGCAGCCTATGCCGACCAAGCCGGTTATGATGGCAATGGCTCCAAGGCCAAACTTGAACTTCCAGTACCGGTCGCCGGCATTGAGCTTGTCGTTGAACGAAAGGTGTTCTTCGGTCTCGGTCTCGGTCGCCTGTGGAGCTGTCGTGTTCGGGATCGACGCCGTAGGACCCGTGGTGGGAACACCCGGCGCAGGGCTGCTCGAGGCTTGGGTTCTGGGGGAGTTCGCGTTCGCAGTTGACGTGGCATTGGCATTTGTCGCGTCGGATAGTCTAGCAACAGACTTTGGAGGAGGCGTCGGAACAGGAGAAGGAGGCGCAGCTGAAGTCGCGTCGGGCGCGTAAGGCGTAGCCTGAGGCGTAGCCTGAGGCTGCGAAGTAGAAGAAGACATTATTAAGTATTAACTAAAGTAAAAAGCGAGTGGATGCGCAGAGATATGCGCGTGGTATATGGTCAGGCGGGGCCTTCGAAAACACAAAGAACAGCAAGAAGGCCAGGCAACAGGAGAGAACTCTGCCTGTCTACAGACATCGTGGCGCCACGGGGTGCCTGAAGCTAGTCGTATCGGTGTTGGATAGCACTTAATTTAGATGAGCTGGAGCGGAACAACCATGATGCGGCCGGATAAATCTCAGTCATCAATGCACGACGCTTAGCACCCTACTACTGCAACCTTAATTGAGGCTTGATCCTTTGTCATTTCACAACACCCAACGAACTGCCTTGGACCATGGATCATGAGAAAGATTTGGATTCGATATTAAGTACCTCGCAGATAAGTCGTATACGGACGCCATCGCTTGCATCGCTGAAGTCCGCCTGAAAAAACATTACGTCATAAAAGACCTTCTTACACAAGCCGTACTTTCCAAAGTTTAAGCCATCAAGCTCCATCCTTGGGCCCTAGCACGAAGAAAAAGAAGGAACGGAAAGGTGCTGGTGCCCGATCTCAGTCATCTCAGCCATCACACTCTATGGTGTGTGTCTAGTACATTGGGTCTCCGACAGCGCTGATGGAAGCAACGCAAACACCATCCTTGCAGTATCCAGCAGGTGTGAGCCATCCCCAGAGTTCTAAGACATGTTAGTGCAGTTCTCGGAGAATGACACATCCGGCTGAACTTACCAACTTGTTGACCGTTGGTGAAGATGGCGTTGGCGGCTCCCGAAATGGTGGCTGAGCACGCGTGGGTGCCAGTAACTTGGTCGCAAGTGATTGTGAACGGGGCAGTAGCCGTAAGAGGGATATCGGCAGAGCCGTAGCAGCGACCTTTATCGCACCATGCTGAGATACTGCTGCTCGCCGTGTACTTGTCGCCATCGACAAGTAGAGACTGAATGGATCCTGCAACGGTGATGGTGCACTTGAAGTCGGTGCTGCAAACTCCAGACACTGAAATCACACGTTAGCAACTTCCAGGATAGTGGTATGGGAGCGCGTTATCGAATAGACTTACAAAGACCGTAAACAGCGCCAAGAACACCCGAGAGGGTCTTGTCAATGACGGCTGGCATAGCAGGCAAGTTGTCAAGAGTGAGGATGCCGGAGCCCTGAACTGGGGCAGAAAAGCTCGAAGGCATAGTCGGGTTCACATTAGTTGCGGTTGGCACTGCGGTGATGGTGGATGTCTTGGTAGCAGCGGCAGCGACAGCGACAACAGAAGACGATTTAGCTGCACCCAGGTTCACATCCAGAAGAGCGCTGGAAGTGCCAACACCGACGCTGATGCCGCCGAGTTTGAGTCCGAGGAGAGGGGAGGCAGTTGCAGAAGCAACAAAAAGAGCGAGAGTAGTGAACTGCATTGTGAAATTCGGAGGCTGTTAAGCGATTGATAGCACGAAGACACAGAAGGGTGTGATGGCTGAGATGACCGGAGATGAGAAGCTGATGGAAGAGCTGGAGATAATCGAAGCTGATGATTCTAAAATGATAGGAATCCGTGGGCTCTTTGTACTCATCCAAGGTGGCTCATAGTGCGGTATGTTCTCAAATCTTTTGTTGGTGAACCCCCTGCCCAGCTGCGTGCCCGACTCAGTGCTATCCCATCCGGTTCGTGCTCCGAAGCGCCTCGATTGCCAGAACTCTGCGCCTTGCACTCCACATCATGAGTTTCAGTTTTGCAAGGCTTCCAGGCCCTGTTACAGATTCGCGATCCCTAGGCAGTTACACTAAGATTGTTGCTGTCCAGCCGATAAGCGAGCAACTACGTCGGTGGAGACCGACAGGCGTAAATGGTACTGGTACCCGTACCGAAGACCAGAACCATCGACCGTTTAAGGTTTCGCACTAACTTGGCGGAGAGTTTTCCGCACGTTGCGGCATTCATGCCCCGACCAATAAGAGCATATCACAGTTTGTATCTACCAAGCCGGGGAGACTATTGGGCTGATTCCAGAATCGATCGCTAAGACATGCCTTTTAATCCCATTTTGGGCCAGAACACACGTTTTCCAGCACGTTTTTCTAGACTCACTGGACCCTTTTCGGTTACCTATGCAAACTGATTGGCCAGCGGGCGCCTCCGCCGTGTGTGACAACGCCCAACTAGCCACTCCTTATAGTGTAGCTGGCACTTACTATCTTAGTATACATCGTGGCTGACTTATCCAGTCCAAATCGGGTTTATGGCGATAGAACGCCACGAAGAACGTATTCAAATCATGACAACGTACCTGAAGTCCTGAATCGGTTCGAGACCCTAATGCAACAACTTCATCAGATGGCTTTCTATCACGCTGTGTGATATGCTAGCGGCATCGACCTCTCTCAACGAAAAGGACGAGAGTCATATGGCTACTGAGATCTGGACAACTTGCACAAAGCAGAAGCCGACGTGGCAAAGTAACACGTGGTAGGAAGAGGGCAGCAGTGCGCAGGTCGAAGTTATGGTAGGTGGTGTGCATAGTGAGAAGATTGCTCGAAGAAAAAAACATGTTACTCAGGAAGATTAGATACTATGTCTCTGTCGTCACTGAAACCAGCTCCTCCAGACCATCAGTTCCGTCATCGCAAACACCAAAATGATCCGCCAAACTCATGCCAGGTACGCCATCGCGGAAACATGCAGTGTTCTTCGTTGCATAATCTCTAAGCGAGGTCCAGTCCCTACATTGGTGCATCTGTCCGTTGCCAGCCATGCCATCACCGTGCCCATAGAGCGGAGTATTATCCGCATGACACATAATGTGTTGACGGAGGGCGTCAAAACAATGCAGGGCGTGATGCGTGGGAAAGGGAGGTACCTCTTGGCGGTGTAAGGCTACATACGAGGCGCGAACGATGCGCTACATTGTGATGGTCAGAAAGTTGTATAGATCGAAGTAAAAGTATTGGAAGAAAGGAGTGTGACGTACGAGGCAGTGAAGCTGATGGTAGGCTTGGAGAAGATACATCCCTTTGCCAGGCATTCCAGGTATGTCCATAGAGGGAGGCCACTATTGCAACTGTTAACACCCACTCTTTGACCCACGCTGTCATCCTTTCCAAGAACCCGGTTCAGGGTAACTCACGTGATTCTCCGCTGCGAACTCATGGTCCACTGCGATATGTCCATGCGCAGTGTTGATGTTGTCCCACAGCGGATCAGCATCCGAAGCATTGGGCGCACCCCATGGCGTATTCCAGTGGAAGGGAACGAACGCGATGGGAAGGGAATCTACCCTAGCAAGTTCGCTGGGTTGTGGATCGAGGGCGTTGGGCAATGCAAGGCTGGTGGGGGTGGGTGTGGAAGAAACCTCCGGGGTGACCGTGGCGGCCACACCCGCCGTGCGCCATATGGCAATAGACAAGCCCATTACACAGACATTGGCAACTGTAAGCAATACAAGTGCTATCGTCGGGTACAGTCGTCTGTGCGTCGAGGGAGGAAGTGGGCCATGTTCCGAAGCCTGGTCACTTGACGCTATGAGCTTGTATCGAGCGAACATGGTGTTGACGAACGCGAGAGGTAACGATCGAGAAACATTGCAGCAACCTGCATGTCAAATAGTCACGATGGCCTGCAGCGCGGAGGATGCACGAGGCAAGTCCTAAAGAAACGGCGTATAGTTAAGGTTTGCGGCCGTGCCCCTCCAGACAGTAGCGTGATGGGCCGCTACCGTGCATGGAGCTGAGTCCGACTGCGGTCCGTTGCGATCGAAAATCATTTTGTCTCACGATCTGGGTGGGCCTGCGAATCAACGCTCTTCCCCAGCCTCGCATCAGGGGCCAAATCTAGACCGAGGTGCGGGAGATCTTCCGCTCGTGGTTGATGGACGTTTCCCAGGTCGTTGGGCCTCTCTACGTCACTTTGCCTGCCAACGGGCAGCCTTACGCACGCCCAACAACCTGGAATCAACTAGGTCCCCTAACCTGAGCTGGGAGGGTGTGTACCAGAGTACCTAGACTTACATATGTATTTTGTGACGAGGAGTTGACTCCGCTCATCACACCTGAGAATGCCATATGGTACATAATCCAGGGCGAATACCGCCGGTTATTATCACTCCACTCACTTCAGTCACTTCATTCTATCAAGTACCCAGTCTCTTTGGCTGCATCATCGGCAAAATGGGTTACGAATACATCAACGTTACTTCGTGCTTGGTCACTGGTATCGTCCTCACAGCCACGACTGTCATTGCTGTCGCCCTTCGACTGGGTGTAGCAGCAGAGAAGGCCGTCAAGTCCAGAGATACGCGATTCAGCAAGCATCTCGACGACTTCTTCTGTCTCCTTGCTCTTCTCCCAACCATTGGTGTCTCCACCGTTATGATCTATGGTAAGATATAACCCGACCAGAAACAAGCTTATCTCTTGGCTAACTATCGTTGTAGGTGCAGCCAAGGGCATCATTGGCGGACACAACGGCCCGGATAATATCGAGGGTTGGATCTACAGCACCACACCAGAACTGGTAATTCTCGAAAAAGTGGGTCCACATGTTCCTCTCTGGCATGTTCATTCAACTAACGCTTTGACAGTGTGTGTACATGATCTTTATCATGCAGCCGCTCGCTATTGGTCTCACGAAACTCGCTTTCTTGTTCCTCTACCGTCGCATCTTCACATGGCCTGGCTTCCAGTGGACCTCTTTGGTCTTCATCGTCCTCACTGTCGCTTTCACAATTGCCTTCTTCTTCGGCTTCATCTTCGACTGCCGTCTGAACTTTGCCGCCAACTGGGGCTCTCTGGCAAGCATCGCCGAGAACTGCCCCTTTGGTTTCGAGGCAACCATCGCATTCACAGTTCTCGATGCCGTTTTTGATCTGTGCATCTTGCTTTTACCCCTTCCTTGGATCTGGCGTCTGCAAATGCCCACCGTCCGCAAGATCCAGTTGTGCGGTGTCTTCCTACTCGGAGGATTTGCCGTCGCTTCTGCCATTGTTCGCATGGTCATCTGTATCAAGCAGAACACACCCTCTGCTGCCCTTGATCAGCAGTTCATCATGGGTATGCCCACTTACGATATCACTGGCATCACCTCGCACGGTCTCTTCTGGACTGTCGTTGAGACCAACGTCGCCCTCATTGCCTGCTGCCTTCCCAAGCTACGACCCGTGCTCAGCATGGCCGGCCTGGGAAGTCTCATGGTTTCCATGGGCTCTCTCCTCCAGAGAATGGGCTCCAGCATGGGTACTCAGAACTCCAACAGTGCCAGCAACGGCAGTGGCCAGTTCAGCAAGATCTCAGCAGCTACTGTCGTCACAGTTGGCAGCAAACCCCGCAGCCAGTTGGGCCATTACCGCTCGCAGGAGAAGGACCGCACTGGTAGCGATATCAGCCTTGTCGAGATGGGCAACAAAGTCGAAGCAGCGGCTGTGGTAGAGAAGCAGGTGTCACCTGACCCTTACGACACATACGAGGTCGATCTTGAGGACAGGAAGTACCTGGGCAGGAATTCACCAAGCAGGTTTTCCCAGTAAGCTTGCGCTATAGCGATACGATGATACCTCTCCGGGGGCCACGACCTCCAATATACCCACCTAATGATTTTTCAAGCGTAGCGTTTAGTTTTAGTTTTAATTAAATCCAAATTTCAACATGAGTTTCTTCTCCTGATGCTTGATGTGCTCTTGGCTTCCAATATCACCACTGCTCACACTCAACCAATGTCTGTCTGCGTGTCTAAAAACCACTTCTTTCAGCCGACCAGCTCGAAGCAGAAACGCCGCCAGCTAGTCTTTCTGCTCCATATCCCGCGGAACATGTAGCCGAGGTGATTTCCCATTGACAGCTTACTGACATATTCAGTCCAGTGGCGCTACTAACAGATCTAATGGCCCGTGGTTATCTAGTCGTTAGTAAGCATTAGGGTCTTGGGAGGCGGAAAGGTACCGTATGGTCGACATGCATTACGCCGAGTCAGCCGACCAATTTTCACGTCCAGATTGTAATGGCCATACACTCCAAGAACACTTGATAGAAATGTGAGATAGATGGCGAGACGTAGCAAAGTGGACTCATTGCATGCATTTGCTATTTCCCAAGATTTCCGTTCAATGCATCTGATACTCATCCAAAGCCATGCCTTTTGCAATCTTCTTGACCAGGGCTTTTTTCAAGAACTGCTCACGAGCGAGACTTCTCGTTTGCTGTGGTCATGTCAGTTACATCTTCTTTGCAGAAATTTCGCCATGGATACACTTACCTTGACAAATACATCAGTACTAACTCGCCCCTTGTCCAGAGCGCGACCTAGAACGAATAGAGCATCTGCAATACCCTTTTCTTCTGCAGCAAGCGTGTAAAGTTGCCCTCCGACTATCGTAGGCGCTACTAGCACGTCATCAACATCTGGTGCCTTTCTTCTTCGTGCGTCCTCCATGACTCGGTCCGCTTCTACCATGGCGCCTTTCAGCACTTGTTCGTTGTTCGCAAGCGCCGCGTCAAGCTGCTGGAGCTCGCCAAGTTCTGATTGTAGTCGAGAGTAGGCAGCCTGGAGGGCAGCTTGTTGCGCGCGAAGTGGCGCTACCGCAGCCATGTTGGAAGAGACTGTCTGTCGAATCTGCGAAACCAGTGTTTGACTCAAGGCCCGGAGAAGCGCATCTTTTTCAGGGTTTGGAGGAACAGGTGGTACCGGTAAGGGAATCTGGTTGCCAGACTGTGACGGCAAGGTAACTTCGAGCGAGTCATCGAGAAGGTCGATTGGGGGCTTAGGGGCTGGTGGCGCCTGCTGAGGTTGTTGTTGGTACTGCTGAAATTGATGATGCTGTTGTGGCGGGTAACCCTGCGGCGGCGGCTGATATTGTTGTGGCGGTTGGGGTTGTCTGTACTGCTGTTGAGATTGCGGTGGTGCTTGGTACTGTTGCGCTTGCTGGAAATTGGGAGGTTGTGGAGGCCCTGATCTCGAGAACTGGGCAGCTGTTCGCTGGCCATTAGGTGCCATGGGGCTCACAGGGCTGCTGCTTTGTACTGGTTGCGGAGGGAAGCCATGCGCATGGGTTTGAGGATGCTGAGGCCCTGAGCCTTGATTGTAACCACCCTGTCGACTCGGCGCATATTGCTGGCTCGAAGGCTGCTGTTGCCATTGTTGTGGCGCATCATATCTACTGTTCTGGTTCTGCTGGTATGACTGCGGCGACTGTGGATGTTGCGGAGGGTGGGGTGGTAGAGGAGGGGGTTGCGAGTACCGACCCTGTGGCGTCTGAGGTGTGGAGCGGCCTTGTTCGTGGGGTTTCGGTGGCTTTGGAGGAGGCGCTGGAGCTTGATTTGGTGGAACAGGGGACGAGGATGCGCCTGGAATCCCTTGTACTGAGCGACGCCAGTCGGCTGGCGGAGGGGGTACTGGAGGCGGTGCTTGTTGCGCAGGCGCATTGTACTGTGGCTGTTGTTGCCTCGATCGCACGGGCGGCTCTTTTGCGAAGACGCCTCTTAGCACGGCCAGGAAGTCGAAGAGCGTAGACTTCTGTGCGATTGTTAGCTGTCGTGCCCGCAGGTGGAGCGTTCGGCCCATCAGCTCTCACAGCTCATGCAGTACTCACATCCCAGTATTTCGCCCATTGTGCCAGATATGGGTGGTATATTCTACCGTCGGTGCTCACATGTTGTCCAGGTCGCAAGACCATGTCTTGGGCGGGTGTGACGTATACGATGGGTGGTTCTCGAGGGTATGAGTGAGGCACCCATATCGCTACCGGAAAGCCGTATGTCGCGCCACGAAACGTAACGGGCAGCGTGCCGCTGAGCAGCAGTAGGAGCGCTGAAGATCCATTCTCGTATGTGTATGGCTCTGTCTTGGGCGCAAGCGACGGGTCTAGACGTTGGTGTCAAGTCAGTCTGCATGTCGTGAAGCTGCAACACATGTGACATACAGTTGGACAGTGCCTCGGCCGCGTCGTGATATGTGCGATTTACGTCTGAGTATTCCTGACTGTTATTAGCGCATGTACAATATGGATTCACCGATTAACTTACATTAACGAGTACGCTGTACAGCCAGTTGAGTACTTTGTCGCTGGCCATGTTGTAACTGATCGATGATGGCATACTGGCTAGATGATGGCCATAGAGCACGGTCCATGCCTCTCCCAACATGAACCCCTCAACACCTTGGCAATCCTTCAATGAAATGTGCCTCCATTTGTTACAAAGTCCCAAGGTTGTACGCCATATGCCTTTGCACTCCATACATCACTCAAGTGTGTGGACCATGTCAGGTACGTGAATAAACTCAAAAGTGTTTCGCAAATCGTTATGTATGCTCAATACAATTTATATGTAGAGCTATTGCGTATGTTACAAAACTATGTAATCGTGTTTCTCGTAACCGCTTCAGCGAGCGTGGGCAGAATATGTGCCAAAGAATGTACGTCATTATACTATACAAGGTCCTCCAGGGTATCAAACAACTACTACGCTCAATGTTGACTCCACTCAATCGTGTTGAGGTCAACACCCTCCTGCACGAGTTCCCATAACGGACTCAGCTCGCGGAGGAATGTGACTCGCTCCTTGACCGCCTTCAACACGTAGTCGATCTCAGAGTCTGTAGTGAAGCGTCCGATACCGAAGCGGATACTGCTGTGCGCACTCTCATCGCTGCTGCCAAGCGCTCGGAGCACGTAGCTAGGCTCAAGCGACGCCGAAGTACAGGCGCTACCCGAAGAGAGGGCGATGTCTTTCAGTGCCATGAGGAGTGATTCACCCTCAACGTAGGCGAAAGAAACGTTAACACACCCGGGGTAATGTCGCTCCCTGTCACCGTTGAGTGTGGTGTGCTCGAGTGATAGCAGGCCTTCGAGGAGACGGTTCGACAGCGCTGAAATGCGCTTGGTGTCATACTAGTTGTGGTCAGCAATGCCCAGACTGGTGAATGATGTGACCAAAACAATGCGTAACAAAGAACTCATAACCCCTGCACATTTGTCAACATGGCGCGTCGACGGCCGAGGCCGCCTAACACTCTGAAAGCCATGCATGTCGGAAGCAAATAATCATAGTGTTCATGAAAGTGAAAAAAGAGTGTACGTACCTCCATCTCTTCGTTGCAAATCCGTGCGGCTTCGCCCATGCCGATGACAAGAGGAGGTGCGATTGTTCCACTTCGCAGTCCTCGCTCTTGGCCACCGCCACTGATGATGGGGTCGAGCCTGACCCTAGGCCGTCTTCGTACATAGCACGCGCCAATGCCTTTGGGTCCGTAGATCTTGTGGCCTGATATCGACATCAAGTCGACGTTCATCTTGTTGACGTCAAGGGGGATCTTGCCGACAGCTTGCGCCGCATCGGTGTGGAAGAAGACCTTCTTCGATCGGCAGAGCTTTCCAATCTCCTCGACAGGTTGTACAACACCAATCTCGTTGTTGACGGTCATGATGCTGACAATGGCGGTATCGGGACGCATCGCGGCCTCGAGCTGGGCCATGTCGATGAGACCATTGTTTCCTACTGGCAGGTAAGTGACGGAGAAGCCTTCATCTTGCAAATGTCTACAGCTGTCAAGCACACACTTGTGCTCTGTCTGTGCTGTGATGATGTGCTTCTTCTTGCCGCTTCGCCCAAAAAAGCGAGCGACACCCTTGATACTCATGTTGTTACTCTCAGTAGCCCCGCTGGTGAAGATGATCTCCTTTGGGTCTGCGCCGATGAGGTTGGCAATGTTGGCGCGGGCGTCCTCTACGGCTTTGTCGGTCTCCCACCCATACGCGTGGGTTCGCGAATGGGGGTTACCATACATGCCGGTCATGTAGGGCATCATCTTGTCTACTACGCGCGGGTCCATGGGGGTTGTGGCTTGCATGTCTAGGTAGATGGGCCGTGAGCCCTGATCCATGACGGTTGCCTGCTTGAGAATGCCTGGATTGTGTCAGCTTTGCGGAAAGCGGGGTGGCGTGGACGTTGGAGCTCACCAGCAGTAGGACTCATCATGGCATCAGCGCCCATGCCTGTTGTTGGCATGGTTGCATCCTCTGCTCTTTCTCCCGTCTCCTTGAGGAAACTGCGCTGCTCCTTCTTGATGGCTGACTCGAGAGGAGAGCCGTTAGAGACGGTTGCCTGTGCCGGCTTGGACTCTGAGACATAGTGCCGGCGGATGCTAGAAACACGAGAAAACGCAGATGAAGGGTATCGACGAGAGGCAATGCGCAGGGCCTGCCTCGCGACGGTGGGTGCAATATTAGACATGATGGAAGAGTAGTGGGAAAATTAAGAACGCAAATTGCCTCCCGAGGTATTAGAAGCTATGAAGTTTTAGCGCCTAGATCTGCTGCTTAGCTAAGCCCACCAGCGCTCACGATCACCCACCACCTCCACTCGTCATCGTTCATTGTCTGCATCCAGAAAGAGACAGTCATTCACGCGTCGGCGCGTTGTTTGCAGCGTTTAGTTTTGCACTGCCGTTTCTTTCCCTGCAGCCGACTGTTCACTCTTGGCGTGAGATAATCGTACTCGCTTCCGTACTTGCTCGGCGCTCCGTGACATCCGGCAGATTCTAGGGAGTGCTGCATAGCCACACGCGACGTCATCGTCGAGGTTTAGCAGCCACGCCGGCGCCCGCATCGTTCGGTCGCTTCCTGCTGGTCTACAACTACAGTCCCCACGGCCTCTCCTAATCCCTACTGTGTATCAATCTCGAGCAGACTTACGGAATATACCCCCACCATGAGTTGGAAAGGCCTAACAAAGACCGTCACCCGGGTACGACAGGCAACCTCACATGCCATTTGGGCATCAACACCCGCTAACATCTCGGATCAGGCGCCGCAAACCTTCAAGCAAAGGTTCAACCTCGTATGTATCCTGCAAGCGTTTCTAGAGGCTCTCCCGTCTACGCGCCCGCTTCCGAGCGAGATTGAGCATCGCTAAAGCGCGTATACAGGGTGAAATCACAAAGGACCCCATCTACATCGATGCAGAACGCCGCTTCCAAGAGCTGGAGAAGGAGACGAAGAAGCTCCATGAGGAGTCCAAGAAGTATGCGCATTTGCGACACAGTTGTACTCGACGTCTTGGCTAACATGCGACAGGTATTTTGAAGCCATAAATGGTGCGTAGACTAGATGTAACCCATTCGTCGTTCGGCCTAACCCACCTCCCAGGCATGCTCTCACATCAGATGGAGTTCTCCAAGGCCATCGCCGAAATCTATAAGCCCATTTCCGGCCGAATGTCAGATCCTGATTCGTTCCACGACGAAGGCAATACGGCAGGCATAGAAGCATGCGAAGAATACGAGTCGGTCGTTAAGGAACTACAAGAGACTCTTAAGCCCGAGCTTGAGATGATAGAGTCCCGGGTCATTCGTCCGGCGGACGAGCTGCTAGTCATTATCAAGGCCGTACGAAAGATCGCCGCCAAGCGCGACCACAAGCAACTCGATTATGACAGGCATCGCGCTGCGTACAAGAAGCTTGAGGAGAAGAAGGACAAGACACTCAAGGACGAGAAGGCCATGTACAAAGCTGAGAACGACGTAGAACTCGCGACGCAGGACTACAACTACTTCAACGATTTGCTAAAAGACGAGCTACCGAAGCTGTTCGCACTGGAGAGAGAGTTCATCAAGCCTCTGTTCCAGTCCTTCTACTATATGCAGCTGAACGTTTTCTACACATTGCACGAGCGCATGCAACGGCTTGACATCGGCTACTTCGACCTTACACTAGATATTGAGGCCGCTTACCAGAAGAAGCGCGGCGACACACAGGAAGAAGCAGAGAAGATTTCCATCGTCAAGTTCAAGACTACAGGTGGCGCTCGTGTCGCTGGTGCACGACCGGGGCAGTCAAAGTACGCAGCGAAAGCACTTGAAGCCAAGGCAGGCCGAAGTTCGATATCGGAAGACACAGAAACACCCCCACCACCTTACTCTGCTGGGCCTTCTGCAGCTGCTGTTGGAGATGTTAAGTCGCCAACCCTGTCGACAGGATCATGGGGTTCTGCTGCCAAAGCCAAAGGCGCTCCTCCGCCACCCAAGCCTAAGCCTTCACGCCTCAGCGGCGTACCCGCGACAGAAACCGTTACAGCTCTCTACGACTACGAGGCACAAGCGGAAGGCGACCTTAGTTTCTTGACTGGCGACGTAATAGAAATCGTCTCAAGGACGCAAAACGACAATGAATGGTGGATTGGAAAGGTACGGGGGAAGCAGGGACAATTCCCAGGTATGTACTCACACCTCTTCGAAAGAGAGTTTACCCTAACCATTCTACAGGCAATTACGTCAAACTGAACCAATAGTCGAGGCTCAGTCCGCCGTCTCCTACCTTTCGCTTGCGAGGTCATACATGTTGAAGCATGGTGATACCATTGTTGCGTTTACAGCATCTTCTGGGGTTTTACGTTAGAGTTTTGTGCTATGCTGATTTGAGCGATCGGCGGTTTAGCACATTGGCTTGCATTGATCAATCTAATCTTCAATCCTATTCTCGGTACCACCTTCTTCAAGCCACCAGTTCACTTGGTTCATACATTCGCGCTTTGTGTTCGTATCTCTGGCATGCAATGCATAAGATGATTAGCGTACTCGGTGCGGGGCCTGTTCCGCCGCACCCCGCATGACGTTGATCGGAGACATGGAACCCTAGAAACCTTGCAATCATCCGAACGTGCTCAGGGGTGTCGAGACATCACTAATACTACTAATCAATTCCACCTTCTCGACCACGTCTCCAATGCATTGTTAGAAACATCATCCATTTTGTATATAATACATCCACTATGCCTTACGAATCGGCGATAACCTTTACACTCGACACGATATGTCCCTGGTATGTTCACTTCTCTCCATGATTGGTTAATCCTAACTGTGATATGGGACATATCTTGGCTTCATCCGCCTCACCAAAGCACTTGAAGCATACCGCACAGCGAACCCCAACTCACCAGCAACTTTCACCCTCAAACTAGCTCCATACCAACTCTACCCCGACGCCACCCAAGAAGGCGTCGACAAGTATGAATGGTACAAGAACGAAAAGTACCAAGGCAGTGAAGAGCGGATGAAAATGTACATGGCCGCCATGGAGGATCTAGGTAAAGCTGAGAACATCAAGTTTGACTTTGGAGGTGGCATGCTAGCGAGTACCCTGCATGCCCATCGTGTATTGCAGTATTTGCAGAACAACAAAGAGCAGGGACTTCAGCTAGAGGTTTTGAAATCGCTGTACACACAGTACTTTGAGCAGCGCGCTCATCCGAGCAGTACTGAGACACTGAAGAAGGCGTGTGTAGCAGCTGGGATGAAACAAGATGAAGCGGAGAAGTTGGTGGAAAACGGTGATGAGGGGTTGAGGGAGACAAAGGCAGCGATTCAGGAGCAGGCTGGGAATGGTGTGGATAGTGTGCCGTATGTTATGTTCGAGGGGAGGAAGAGGGATTTCACGCTGATTGGGGCGAAGAGTGTGGCGGAGTATGAGAAGGTGTTAGGGCAGGTTGCTAAGGAGTGTGCGTAAAGGGAATGACACCTTCGATCGCTTGTGGATAGATTCTACAAATATGCTGCTCTTCCATCCGCGCATGTTTTTCTTCTGGACGTACGTATCCTTTCGAACTTCCCCTCACCAATCTACTCAAGTAGATCCTCCAATCTTAGTAGCTCATGGCCTCAACGACCTCTCCTAACCTATTCATCAGGATAACTACCTGTTATACATAGAAAGATAGACCTGACCAGTGATAAAACTCAATCCATCTCCTTACAATGCGGACCATCAAGGAACCGAACCTAGTTTCGAGAAGGGTTTCGAGAAGGAACTCGATACATTTCTTTACCGCGCCTATACACTTTCTCGCCACGCGAACTAGTTGAGATTCGAACTCGTATAGAAAGAGAGAAAGCGTGATGACCAAAGAGAAGATCTGGTCCATCTCTCCGATGCTTTGTGGCGCACATGGAACAAAACAACATCTTTTCCTTGAGCACAAATCTCCACTGAGGAGCGAATTTCCGGAGTTACGAAAGTGTAACCGCGGTTCAATCCAACAGCGAAGTGCCCAATTGAGAATTGCACCGAATACGCAAATTTTGGCTAAACGTGGAGCGTGTTCGACATTATTGTACTTCCACGACCAAACGATATTGACCCAACTGCGGATTAGCGTCGTGAGGCCTGGCAAAAGACTTCCCGGTAGCACGATGAATCCGAGTTGACGACAGCTGATCGAAATACTTGCGTACCAGATTGCTCCTATCGGAAGCACTAATCCGACAGATAATATGAAACGGCGTCGCTTGATAGGTTCCTTGGGATCGAAATTTTGTTGTCGCTCTTTGTAGAAGCACGCAATGATCTGCATCGTGGCCGTTTGGATACCCATATGTACAACCGCAACAGCAGCTGCCAGCATTTGTCGCGTAGCTTCGTCCACTTCAAGTGGAGTCATTTCCAAGTCTATCTTATAACTTGGAACACCAGGGTTGAGTCGATCCACAGAAATTTTCCCCTCATCTTTAGCCAAATTCAGCTGGCGTATAAGGTCGACCGCAGCAAAATTCGTATATAACGCATATCCGATAAAGTGCATGTTGTGCGTGTAGTTATTTTGGACGGTGTTTATCCATGAGATCGCTAGAGTAATGATCCAGGCAGCCCATGGGCCAGGGCCATAGAAACCGCTGATCTGGGGATTGTTGGAAGATGGCAGAGACATTTCGACGGCATGGGCTGGAGCGTCCGTTATTCTGTCCGAAATAAAGCGAGGAACTGGTATCGCTTTCGAAGTTTGATAGGCTTCACTATCGTGGCGGTCTCGTTCGTACCCAGGGAGTGATTAGCCGTGAAGTAACGGTACCTAGGTAGCAAGCTCGGTCGAATGTGGTAGGTGGCACCATGTAGAGTCTAACAGACTCCAACATGCGTCGAAAGACCAAGATTCGTGTGCGCGGCAATGTGGAATAAAAGAAAGGATTTCTTGTGTCCTTCAGCGGAGGTTCAGCCTCGTCGCAAGGCATGTGGCTTTCGCTCAGCCGCATCCGCTAAAGCGTGGGGGCTGTGTAATCTCGACCGTTATCGGAACGCCCTCGTCAAAACTTATTACAAGAAAGGAAAGCCTCTTTGAGATTGCGCATCCTCGAATTACCTAGATGTCTTTCACAACCTATGCGAACCGAACTCTGTCAGCATTCAGCAAATTGGAGTCCTGGTTCAATTGCCTACACCTCGTCACTTGCAGCCCTAGCTAAGGAGGACGTAGTATCGTTCTCAATCGCTTCTTCATCTACGTCGCGGGCTAAGGTGAAGGCTTTCTCCTCATCTACAGTAAGGCTTGTTGTAGAACAGGCTTGTATCTAATCTTTCAAGCTGAGAATTCACCCAACTCTGACTTCGTACACTTAATCAGAAGTGCACCTAATGTTTCAAGCTCCATGGTTCTCGATCTCATGCTGCTGCATGCCTTCCACACGATTTTTGAGTGACCTTTACTGAGATATTTGATCGTGTGATCCATGACAACAACAGTAAATCGGGCTGGTGTATACTCAAACTACCACGCTGCTGGCAACTATGTTCTGTATATGGCCTGGATACCCTTCTTCACAGCGTAGACCATTCCAGACCCAAATTCGTAGAAAAAGGGAACAAGTGCGATAAGCAAGGAAAAGGCTTGATCCCACTCTCCAATGCCTTGTGGCGCGCATGGGACGATGGAACACCGACGAGGAGGTTGTATGTCGCCGATGAAGATAATTGTCAGCTCTTTATTCCTGAGCGTATCCAACGTACAGATCATAGGAAGAGACAAGAGGGCCATGATGAGAATACACACGACAGAATAGTCCTTGGCGCCCTTGACTCCGATGAGATCACAGACGCTACAAGCCAGAAAGAGATGACCCAGTAATGAACTTCCTATCAACCATGCTTTAATTCTTACTAGGGGTATCAACTCACACCACCAAGCCGCAGATAGTGGTATCAGCAATCCGAGGATTAGGACTAAAAGGCGCCGTCTGAGGGAAGGGCTGAAGTCGGAGCCCAGAGTGTATGAATGAAGACGCCATACTAGGGCAGTCTGTGCAACAGCATGGCATATGCCTATGGACAGAATTGCCAGAGAGGCGGTGATATTCTCCAAACGTGCTTGATCTATGTTCAAGTGGTCGCGGTCCCGTGCAGCTTGACTGAACTGGCTTATAAGGTCGATCGCAGCCCAATTCATATATAATGAGTATCCAATGAAGTGAAGGTTGTGTGTAGAATCGACCTGGAAGAGAGATATCCATGATGCAACCAGAGTAATGATCCATGCAGCCCACGCACCAGGACCATAAAAGCCACTAATTTGTGTGGAGGAGGTGTATGACGGGTCTGTTCGGGCGACAAGACTGGAGGTGATGATGAAGAGCTCTGCTTGAGGATTCGGGATGAACATCGTCTCTTATAGGCTATCTGTAAAGTACGGTGGTATCTGAGCAGGGGAAGATGGTGGTGGTTCGTGGCTGGTACTGTGAAGCGCGTGGTTCTCGGCGGACGTATATATGTCCGCTTCTTGAAGGCTCAGTGTAGAGTATAGCTATCTTTTCAGATGTAGGATTTGTTTTCGATTCGTTGTAGGGATTGGGTGGTGCGAGGCTTCGTCCAGTGCAGTCGAATCAACGACTTCTCATAGGCTCGACAGAGTGTCGACCCGTCCTAGGAAGCGAGGTTCCAAGTACTTTGTCGTAGGTTCCGTGCGGGTTATCGCTTCGTCGATAAGTACGATTGGAAGATGAAAATGCAACAAGCCTTAGCAGGCTTGGTTGAAGCTTGGTTGCGTGAAGCCAAAGTATGCCAAAACCACTAAGCTTAAAAATAATGAGTCGAAACGCTGAGAATATGAGAGAGAGTGTGCGCGAGCCCGTCGATGTAGGCCGCAGCCTGGCAATAGGATTGACGTGGTTGGCTGAGCGTAAGCCACATCTGCATGGGTGCTATCTCCTGGTCGACCGGAAGGTGAGAAAATAGTTGACCGTGCACACGAAGATCGTCCTCCCTTAGTATCGAACTCGAAATATCATAACAGTAATTGGAGATCCCTTTGCGATTCTGAAACCATCAAAATATCATTCAGGCACCTAACATCACGCCCTAAGCCGGTCAGGCGATCCTTCATCCCCACTCCTACTTCCATCATCCTTGCCCCTACCTCCTCTCCTCCTCATCCTAAACCACCCACCAACCCCTCCCTCCCCTCTCCTCTCTGCCCCCAGCTCACCATCCCTCTCCTCCATCCCCACAACAACCAACTGCTCCCCCTTCCTCTTGACTATCCAATCAACCCGCATATCCCTCTTCTGCGGACCTTCTTGCGGCAAACCTCTAAAAAGACCGTCCTGCGGTGGAGAATGGTAGCCTAGGATGAACAAGACGAGAGGTTCGCAGATGTCGGTGATGAGGCGGATGCGCAAGAGAACTGCGAAGTAGATGAAGATGAAGATATTGATGAGGAGAGTTAGAGCGAGGACTACCAACAGAGCCTGGGTAGTGGTATTAGCATAGGCGTTCAAAATTATGGGTAGAGGGGAACGCACCTTCTGATAGTCCTTCTCACCACCGGACATGTACTGTGCTACTCTTACAGAAGCATTGAAATTTTGCATCTGCGGTTGATCGAACTTTCCGTCTGTAGTAAAAGGGAAGTCCTGCGTCAGATCCAAAACCGTACACGTCGTCATACTAAGAAGCGCTTCCGCGGGACTCGGCAGCGTTTTGTTCAGCTTTGGTTCGGTAAGCTGTAGTTGGGTGAATATACGTGCTGTTGATGCATCACCGTCGAAGACGCCATTGTTCAGACTGAGAGAGTTGAGAAGGTTGAAGCCTAATTCGCGCCAGCCGACTAGAGCGGCCTTATCACCATTGGAACGGAGGGGTTGGATAGAGGCGTCTTCGCTGATATTTCCGTGTGGGCCGTCACAGACAGCCTCGAGGCTTTGACCGCCGGAGGAGGCGTTGTAGCGTGTGGTGCAGGAGGTTGTGATGCCGGCTTTCATGGAGCAGAGGAAGTAGTCCTCGGTGGTATTGTCGGGGGCTTTACCGAGGAGGTAGACCTCTGGTCTGTCACCCTCTTCGTACGGGACTTGGGTGTGGTTCGCAATTGTGTTTCCTGCCTTGGGATACTTGAGAAATATCGGTCTAGCCCGAGAATGATCTTCTGTCTCGTCTTTCCAACCAAAAATGTCATCAAGTACCGTTTTGTTGTTTGTGTTAGTTCCCTCTGGAAATCCCAAGATAGGCCACCAGTTCACCGACTTGGAGCCTTCTTCCATAGGGATCGCATTGGGCCAATTCTTGTATATAATTGGAGCTAGCTCTTCCTCTTTCGCATTGACACACAAGGCATTGATCGCAAAGCTTGCGACTGATGCGTGAACAGAGTATGAGCCGCCATCGTGGAGATCCTAGGACTGTGAGCAGGGTGGTGATCTGAGACTCCGGATACACTTACTTCCGGTTGTAACAAATCATTCTGGGTATTGCGAGCTGCAGCTGGAATGCCTCGATGGGGCACAGCTATAGTGATGTTGTTGACTGCAACCGATTAGCGACGTCAAGCTAGGAGAGGAATAGCTACGTACCTATTCTCCCCGCCTTCTCAGATTCAGTCGCGACGTCATGATGGTCCAGCCATGCAGTAGTAACAGTAACGTTGTTATCTAGCGACGCACTAATCCGCTTGCGTTGCAGAAGGTCCTCAGACATCCAGGGAGGGTTTGAGGCTGCCGCTGAGTCGTCCCAGGCTGACATGTATTTGACAAAGTTTCGACCACAGAGCGATGACCATTTCATTGCAAGACACGTGCTACCGCCCCATTGATCATCGCCCACGTCAGGCCAGGCGGTCAGGCAAGTCTTATCGGCCTTCAGGGTACTGGAGAAATCACCATCTACTTGACCGACCATCATCTGCTTTTCCCATGGTGGAAGGCGTAGTTGTGGTTGCACTGTGGGTACATTAGCGGCTTGTACTGATAACTCCGAGGTGGCCGACATACCAAGTGCACCAGCTGCCGTGGTATATAGCAAGGAAAGCACGGCAGTGATCAGGGAGAGTACTCCCAGGAAGCTGAAGCCAGCAACCCTCACACTATGCCATTCACTGAATAGTCTCCCTGGCTGGCTTTAAATGCGGTTAGCCAACATGAGCGAGACACCCGAGCCGTTGTCGACTTACAGAATCCAAGACCGCATCTCCACGCTGGCCAAATTAAGGCCCTTTTGCTGAATAGCTCTTCTCGACAGGACCTGCCCTATGAATGCCAAGAACACCATTACAAACGACAACTCGACGGTCTTGGCGATGAAAGCCGTCAATAGCGCCGCCGAGGAAGGGCTAAAGCGCCCGCGCGCCGATACGACATGGCCGTATTTAGGTTGGACTAAGGCGACGATGAAAAACAGGGCTGAACATAGAGTTGAATACAACGACGTCATCAAGAGACTGACTGAGTATCCATTTCGTCGTGGCTCGAGTAGGCCCTGAGTGTATAAAAGTGGTAGCATGCTCCTCGAACTATCTAACCAAATTAAGCATCTCAACCAAGTACGGTTGGGTGTTGGGCTTACTTTTGGATTCAGCAGTAAAGCTTGTCATGCTCCGTCCATCTTGAGACGGTCTAAGAAAGGGGTTCTCGGGCTGTTCATTTCGCGGGCTTGGTTGTGGACTCGTCATGGTGTTGAGTTGATGGTCTTGGGAGCGACCATCAGGTAGACCCGCTATAAAACAAATTAAAGGAAATCGAAGATAAGCGAAGAATGCTACGCCTTAGAAGATGCAGCGCAGGTCGTAAAGGCTGTGCGGTGAGATCAGGCAAGCTGTGATTATTTTAGTGGTTTCAAAGCGGCCGAGCGGCGGTGCTATGAGCCCCACGTCAGCGCCGTTGATCTCATTCTAGCAGATCACACAATCGGACATTCCGAAAAAATGAAGAATACGATGTAAATCGCCTAAATGCCATTATTTTTGATCTAACATATGCTTGAACTTTTCGATCTGTCTCAATGTCAGCATTTGTCGCGATTGCATATGTTACGAAATGACGTGAGCTTACCTTGGTACTAAGATACTTCTCTACTTCTTCGCTCTTGATTCCCTTCATACCACCTGTTTTCCAGGCGAGCGGAACCATAGCTACGCGTTCTCTTACTACGACTTCTCTATTCGGGCCCTCGACCGCATGGACTTTATCTGGGTTGTTGGTCAAAAGTCTTATGCCTTTGTCTCCGTCTAAGCCCAAGTCCATCAGCATAGCCGTAGCTAGACCGTAGCTGCGCGCGTCTGCGGGATGCCTTAACATAATGTTCGCTTCGTATGTATCGTTGCCTAGATCTTGCAGGTTGTAAGCCTTAAGCTTCTCGCCTAGACCAATTCCGCGGCCCTCTTGGCGAAGGTAGATAATAGCGCCGCCGGAGGGTGACAGAGTGGGATCGGCCATCAGCCGCGCGGCTTCGTCCAGTTGCTCGCCGCAGTCGCAACGCGCAGACCATACAGTCTCGCCAGTATAACATTCGGAGTGTATACGGACAAGAGGTAATTCTAGTGAAGAGGCTGGCAGGACGTCTCCGTTCTCTGAGGATGATGCGGAAGCTGGCGACAACAGCCCATTATTCTTATGCGCGTGGTTTAAATCAGACTCTGGCTTGCGCTTCGTAGAGACGCCTTCCGCCCTCTTAAGCTGCTCAACCCGCGAGCTGATTCGCCCCGGGTACAAGCGTCCTACATATGCGCCTCTTGTCATACGGTCCAATTCCGTCTCCCCAGGCCGCTCTGCATCTAGTGATCTAGAGCGTATTTGGTTTCCAAAAACAATTGCAAGATGCTCCTTGGTGTCAACGCTGTTCCTGTACACGTGCAACCACATCTCGTGCCCGGTAGTTGTGGGTATCCGCGCGCGCACTTCGCACTCCACTTTGGGCAGCTGCGGCAGTAGATCCGGTCGCGGCGTGTCGGTGCGCACTGAGGTATCGACTGGTATGGAGCGGGGCGGTCGGGGTTGCGAGGGTGTCGCGCCCCCGGGGGTCGCTGGGGGCGTAAAGGCAGGCGATATTATTGAGGGCGGCGGGTTGTGGTGCGCATCATCATCGTTCGCGACACGTTCCGGTGTCTCTGGCTTTAGCTGTGACGTCTGGAAGTCGAAGCCCTCTCGCCCGGCGCTCGAAAGGTGTGGAGAGAAATGTGGTGGGAAAGCTGTCATGATGGAGTGGTAGATTGTACGGGGCAGCAAGCGAAAATGAAAGGTGGAAATTCTAGTAAGGCAGTCGCATACCAAGTGAGATTGAAGGCGTGCAGGTGGAAGTGATGTTACTCTAGAGTCTACTGTGGGGTCGAGTCACTCATGACATATATCCGAAGCCGCTGCTCGGATGTCGTTAATTCGGACCCGCCGACATGTAGCCGCGGCTGCGCAAAATCACTAAGCACCAGGGCAGCGCCTCTGTCAGCGATTAGGAATCGGAAAGAAAATCTCCGACATGGCTTCTGTGAAATTGCATCCATTGCGGCTGGACTCTTCAGCCGCCATGCAGGACTCCCGCACAAAGACGCACCGAATTATGGTCGGTCTTCGGAGAAGTCCCTGCATTATCTTGGACTCCGTCGTAGATTTGCACCATGAACATGGCGTCATCCAACACCCCCATGACACCAACTACATATTATGAGCACGTGCTGCACGACCACCATTCTCCAGCATGTCATATCAATCAACCGATCAATCAATCCACTCGACGCTCCCTGCCCCAGACCTCATCCGCATTCTTCTTGCCCTTGGTCTCAGGCACATACCAGGTAATGAAGGCAAAGAAGAAGGCCGATAGTGCAGCAAATATGAAGTAGACATGGCCGTGCAACTTGGCGCTCGCCAACGGAAAGAACTGTGCGACAATGAATGTAGCAATCCAGTTGGCTCCGAGCGCAATACTTTGTGTTGCGTCAACAGCATCCGGGCCTACCAGCTCGCTCGCCAGGATGAAGGGCACCGGGCCAAGACCAACAGCGAATCCAGATACAAATAGCAGGACAGCGACGGCGGAGAGGACAGAGATCGACTTGATGATGCCAATGGCGAGCAGGAGTGAGCTCGTGCCCATGATGGCAAGGGAGCTTAGCAGGCAGACCTTGCGACCCAGCTTGTCTGCGAGGGGCGCACAGCTGGCTGTAACGATGATGTTGAGCGCTGAGACGGCAAGATTGAGCAGTGCGGAATTGGACTCGAGTAGACCTGCCAGAAGCGAAACACCGTACATGACAATGCTGTTGATGCCGCTGAATTGCTGGGCCAGCATAACCATGACGACAGCGATGGCAGCCTTTTGGTAGTCAGGATGGCGGAAGACTTGCGCAATGCTGAGCGTCTGTTCTTTGCCTGACTCTTTTGGCCTGGCATCAGCTGACCCATCTTCGTTGCTCAACAGGGTCTGTTCCTCCTCTGGATAGTTGTCAGCATATGATGTAAACCTAGCAATTTACTTGATCAACTTACCACTGACACTGCCTGAGCCTGAGACACTCCAGTCGTTCATTTCATCCTCAATGTCTGCATGTTCTCCTCTGATCTTGCGCAACGTCTTCTTCGCGAGCGAGACATTACCCTGCTCTGCAATGTACTTTGGGCTCTCGACCGACAATAGCAGTCCCACGCCTTGTACAGCCCCGATGACACCTCCAATGGCCAAGATGAGCCTCCAGTAGGAGTCGTGGCTCAAGAAGTATCCCAGCAACTGCGTGATCAGAATACCCACGTTGCATCCAATCTGTGTGAAAGCACCAAAGAAGCCCTTCTCGCCCGGCGGGGAGATCTCAGAGATGTACAGAGGCACAATGACGACAGACGCGCCTGCACCCACTCCTGACAGCAGTCTTCCAAATGCCATGACACCAATGTTTGGGCTTAGCGCCTCGAAGATGGGGCCCACGGCGAAGAAGATGGTGGATATCTGCATGGCCCTGAGGCGCCCGTATTTGCCTGCCAGCGGTCCTGCCGAAAGCGCTCCCATCAGACCTCCCAGTGTGTACAGCGACCCCACAACACCCCATTCGGTTGGGCTCATTTCGATGCATTGCGGGAGGCTGGGGCCAGCAACGGTAGACTTGATCGACTTTCGTTTACAGCGGATGACATCTTCGGGCGCGTTCAGCTCAGACTAGGCGTGTTAGCTATGCGCCGGTAATAGACGACGCTGAGTCCCACCAAGTGAAAGCCGAAGAGAAGCGGACCGAGAGTCGCAACGGACAGGATGTAGACGAAGTAGCCCGTCAGGTTGCTAAACCACGAACGCGGGTCCATGGTGGGATTCTACGGTGGTAGAGGTGGGAGGTTTGGAGTGTCGCTGGAGCTTGGAGGACGTGTCAGCCGCCTCGTAGAACGTGACATCGGAATGACGATGATGCACCGCACCTACCTATGTGGGCAGCTCAGACAAGAGCGATAAGCTGTTCCGTTTATGCCCTGAACATGAGGCTTTGTCGCAGAGCTTGGGGTTTCACGGTCGTCACATTGCTAGTGCAAGCTTGGACAAGGGACAGGCGGAATCAAGTGGTTGGCTCCAAGACTGAGGCTCTGCGGGGAGCCATGCTGGGTCGTCGCTCTATGATACATGCTTGAACCTCTCGTCTTCCACCTGTGAACCTCTAGACTCCAAGCCAGATTCTGTACACATCATTCTGCGCGTCTTTCGGCATCGCAGCTTGCCATTGCGGATCGCGTCCCACACCTACAAGGGCTTACCGGAGAAGTTCCGCTGGCGCGTCGTGGTCGTGGCCATCTGCCGCGTCCGGCGTGGAGACATCAGCTACGCGAGAGGCTGAGGCAGGACATGGCGAAAGCATGAGCCAGCTCGACAACTCCTCCCCGCCGGCGTCGTCGGCTTCTGCTGCGGCATCCACCCGGGCCCCATCGCGCAAGAACAGCCTGGCGACAGCTTCCGACGGTACGCCTCTGCTTTCTTTCCGTGTCCATCAGTCATCGTTTCCTATATGCTGGCCTTTCTTTTTTCCCCAGCCTCCACTCAAGCCATCGTCGCTTCACTTCCCTGATCTGGCGCCCCTTGGCCAAACGTCGTAGCCTGCGTGATTGTTGTTCCTGCTGTCAGCAATTGCCGCTCGTGTCCGCATCACCCCTTGTTGACGTTGCTGGACCCTTTGCATTTCCGACTGTTCCATCACTTTAGCGTATAGAAGCGAATACTAAACCTGTTCCTGAAGACTCGGCAGATCCCGTTCATGCCATGTTTACTGGATACAACAACAAGAAGCGAGTCACGGAGCGCTACAAGATTGTAGGCTTCATCAGCAGCGGTACCTATGGGCGAGTCTACAAAGCTGAAGGCAAGAATGGCCGCACTGGCGAGTTTGCCATCAAGAAGTAAGTCGGAACGAGTCTTGCCACAATGCATGCTAACATACCCAGATTCAAGCCGGACAAAGAAGGCGAACTTCAGTACTCAGGCATCTCGCAATCCGCTATACGAGAGATGGCACTATGCACTGAGCTCGCACATCCCAATGTCGTGCACACCGTAGAGATCATCTTGGAGGACAAGTGTATCTACATAGTCTTTGAGTATGCCGAGCACGACTTGTTACAGATCATCCACCACCATAACCAGCCCCAGCGACAGGCCATACCCGCACCGACCATCAAGTCTATTCTCTACCAGCTCTTGCAGGGGTTGGTCTATCTGCACCGCAATTGGGTCATGCACCGGGATCTCAAGCCAGCCAACATCATGGTCACTAGTGCTGGCAAAGTCAAGATAGGCGACTTGGGTCTTGCCCGCCTGTTTTACAAGCCGCTGCAATCTCTCTTCTCAGGCGATAAGGTCGTCGTGACGATATGGTATCGCGCACCTGAGCTTCTTCTTGGTAGTCGTCACTACACTCCTGCAGTTGATCTTTGGGCTGTGGGATGTATCTTCGCCGAACTGTTATCATTACGACCTATCTTCAAGGGAGAGGAAGCAAAGATGGACAGCAAGAAAACTGTCCCATTCCAGCGCAATCAGATGCAGAAAATAGTCGAGATCATGGGCATGCCCAGCAAAGACCGATGGCCCCTACTGACGGCTATGCCCGAATATCCTCAGCTGTCGTCTCTCGCATCAGGCAACGCTGCACGATTCTCCCGACCCCAGGGTGGCGATGGTCTGGAACGATGGTATCACCAGACGCTCAACAATAACCAGTATCCAATAGGCTCCGGGCCAGATACACCTGGACCCGAAGGACTCTCCTTGCTCAAACAGCTCCTCGAGTACGACCCCCAGAAACGACTCACAGCGGAGAAAGCGTTGTTACATCCTTACTTTACCATTCATGGCAAGCCAGCCGACAGCTGCTTCGAGGATTCAAAGATCAAGTACCCCGTCAGAAGGGTCAGCCAGGAGGACAACGATATCCGCACGGGTAGCTTACCAGGTACCAAGAGGAGCGGACTTCCAGACGATTCGATCATTGGACGACCTGCGAAACGTCTCAAGGAAGGATGAAGAGACTCGACTTGGTGATTTCGTGCTGCTCGATAATGTGTACGTGCGATGCGATGCAGTTTCCCGTTTGTACGTACTGCCACTGTCGTTGCGGCAAATCTATCCCTTGTTATCGGCATGGTGCTACATGGCTGGACCCATGAATAGTGGCCTTGGCAGTGGAAACGACTTTGTGCGAGTCCTGATCTTACACAAATGTCCTGGAACCCTCTCGACCCTAGTCCTGACGTAGCACGGACACGACGGCAATCTGACAACATGCTGGCTCTAATCGACCGAATGAGGGGAGGCCGTTCCTGAGGACAACGCAGGGGCAATATGTCCGACTGGGAGGTGCAAACCATTCTGTTGCATCTGTCTAGCTGGAACCATGTTGTGAAGCCCCTGGAATTGAAGCGTAAAGCAAGCAGTACTTCTTGTCTGCCTTACAACCCCGCCCTTTTCAGCGTGCTGGCAGTAGAACAGTGAAATAAGAGAAGTGTGCAGCGCCTTTGCACCTGGATCGCGCTACAGCGGTAGCGATAGAACCCACGATTTTAGGTTAGCCTTGCTCGCCGTAATATATACAACGAGGGGAAGACAGCCTGTCAAAGGCAGCCACTAAATACAAGTACGACGTTTCTCGACCCTAAATTACCTCCGGCACCGCCTGGATCGAGCGAAATACCCAAGATGATGAAATGGTCACGTCCAAGTCCTGGTGGTCGAGTAAGGGATGTTCTCTTAGGCATCGATACTACAAACTTGTCTCCTTAAGTTCTTTCTCTACCAATTGAATTGTGCCATCCAAAGAGCATGCGGACTTGCGCTGTGCATGAGCACTTGGCCCTACTGTAGTCACTCTTCACGAACGCCACTTTGCGTGCTTGTGCTTCCTTCAACCTTCACATGTCTATTTTGTGCGTTGCTCTAACAACATATGACATTACAGCTAGCGTAGCGGGCTCCACGAGGTGACGACAGAGAAGCAGTGGTGTGTGAGCAGTGCGCACGCATCAGGTTCGTGGCCAGTCTTCAGTGGTACCTTCAAGTAAGTTCCCAGAAGGGTAATGACAAGAACAGTGAAGAAACTGATGGAGCAGCAGACCTGTGTCGCCACTAGGTGCCTACGAAACGCAATGGGCCTGTCCTACCTGCCTGACCTGCAGTCTACCCCGGCTGATATTACACAAACGGTCGCTAGAGTAGGTTTGCTGCCTCTGTTCATCATTCACTTTGATGGTTTTCGGTGCCGGGCTGCTCTTCCTCCATTGAGTCACCTGGGTAATTGGTCCGCGCTCCGTAATCGTTTGTTTGCGGGGCTAGTGTGTGAAGGCAGGCGCGAACTGTCAACACCACGCCATCGTCGGCCCAAGCCACGTCCTTGACCATATAAGCCCGGCTGACCTCGTTCTACTCCTGCTTCGTCACTCGTTGAAATACTCTCGCTCCTTAGATTGCCTCTCATTAATTTGCTCCAAACCTGTGCACAGCATCACGGATCGATTGGACCTGCTGTCCGAACAACTCATACCTATTGAACCTCGCCCTTGGCCCTACACCTTACAAACCGACATCCAACATATCTGCCACAACCGAGCCATGAAGATTTTTGCTTCCCTGCTTGCTCTCATGACAGCCACAGCTGTCGCCGCTCCCGCCAATGAGATCAGGCGCCGCGATCTCGCTGCCGACGATGCTCCTCATCAGGACGATCCGAACTTCATTAGCGCAGTCATGCGAGCTCACTGGTACTGGCGCAGATTGCATTGTGCACAGGACCTTGTTTGGGATACTGAGCTTGCCAACGCTGCGCGTGCTGATATCTCAGAGTGCCCAAAGGACCCCGAGCATGTAAGCAGCGGGCACGGCAATGACAGAGCATGGCTAATACTCGTAGAAACGCTCCGGCAGTAATCTCTCGTCCGTGAACCCACCCCCTGAAGGTTACGATGCTTGGGTCGAGTTCGCTCGCACCGCTACCCACGGCTGGCACGAGGAGGAGACCAAATACCCCTACGACAACCCACACTTTGATCCTGCATGGGGCCACTTCAGTCAGATGGTCTGGCGTAATAGCACGCGTCTCGGATGCGCCCTTGGTCACTGCCCCAGCGACGTCAACTGGCCGGGACGCTTCTACTGCTGTGAGTTCAAACTACAGGACTGTAGGTGTAACAGTGCTGACAACCACAGACTACTCGTTCTTTGGCAATAATATTGCGGCTGGGCAGTTTGAGGCTCAAGTTTGGGCGCCCGTGTGTAAAGATCCTGACGTTGCTGAGGTCACGAGGCGCGAAGACGTCAATTTCAACTGGGCTCGCGTTTGAGATGCCCACGCTTGCTTGTCACACAACTCTGCGTACCGCCTGCGTAACGAGACTTACGACAGCCTAACCTCTCTCTCATCACGATGTTTGGCGCTATACCCTATTCACAGATCTTTGTTCACACATACCTTGTCTGCTTGGAGATTTGCTGCCGCTTGTCTGGCATGACTTACTATATCACTGCTTCTGGCAACACTGGCGGTGGTCAGACGTGATGACTATTACTAGTGGTTGACTGTTACCAGCTGTTGAAATGCGTCAGGTAATAAATTCGGCGTAGCTTGCTGGTCATTGTTAGAGAAGATGTCACGTCCTGGGAATAGACAAATCCTTCATGATTCTTGGTCTCAATATTCAAGCGTTATTCCATGAGTCATGACGAGAAGCATCATCGATCTAGGCCGAAGGTTCTCCAGAAATCTGCCGCACTGAACGACGGACGGTAATCATGCTTATCCAATGCAGCATAATAGAATAAAGGTCCAGACAAATCAAAAGAATATGTGCTGCCTACTTCCACAATCCAATCAAAAGCCGTAATGCCTTCAGATCCTCGAGAATATCCATGGAACACGATCATTGGTATAGGAGTGTTTCTAGGTGAATAGTTCGAGGACAGGAACGGGAGGAAAGAAAGAGATATAGGAGACGCTGAGGGTCTGTGCTATGAGAGCTGGAAGTAAATGGGGTATCAAAGATGCTATCTGCCGGACACATCTCATGACCTCAAGAGATGGTAAATATACATCAAAAGGCGAGATAAGAATCTTTGCGAAACCATTCCACAAGCGTCGCATAACCCTGACAAGTAAAATGGACACCCTGGCAAACAATAGGGCCGAGTGAAGTGGAGTGCTTGTGGACTTATTGAATCACTAAACATAGAAGAAGAAGAAGCAAACACTGGAATGACTCTCTTGAGAACGCATCGACGCGCAGCTATACAAGCTAAGTGCTTGGTGTTGAGGACCAGTTCAGCCTCATGCACTGCACGGGTCCTCGCGATCGGATCATGCGGCCGGGCATTTCCGCGGATCGCGAAGCAATAATCGGTCCTACAAGAGACGGCAAACCCCCATGATCTCCATCTTACACATAACCATCAGCAAGACCCTTAATTATCCACTCTTCTCATCTCACTTTTTCATCCCATGCCATCAAAATTCCATGTTGAGAAATATGGACATCCTCAGCCACCAGTCGGTCATGAGCGGGCGATCCCTGCATAACGGCCATGCGCCAGTGGACTTATTGCATCATTGAACGCCACCACGGCCTCGATCTCGCCTCTGAGCAGCGAAGAGCCGCGACGCGCGACAGGCAAGCCATCTCAGGGCCCCCACTAATGATGCGTGCTTCTGTCTGCCCTGCGATCAAAGATATATCGATCTATGGCGTGCGAGGGGCGCGGAGATGGATCCGCGTGGGCTTAACACGAGCGACAGGCACGAGAGAGTCTAGCCCTTTGGCTCCCTGGCACTGGCCTGCACCTTCCTCGTGGGTCTCGCGCGTGCAAGTACAGTGGTTATTGGGTTTTAAGGTTGCGCCTGCCTCCTGTTTCCGCCGCGTTTGACGGATTGGCTGCTAAACGATCGACAAACACTACCACAGAAGATTCAATTGCCACCCAGTACTACAACAAGAGTCGCCTTTATTGCCCAAGATGCTGGAGAAGCAGCAGCAGCATGCGCTGCGGGACGAGGGCAGAGACGCTGTGCCGAGGCTACCTGTCTCCCTGTCGGGCGAGATTAACGCTGCTACACGGTATGCTTGTCTTCCTTCCTGACCACGGTCCTGGAGTGAGAGAGCAGGATGCTAACACCACTCGTCTAGATCTCTCCACACAAATCTCAACCGTCTCATAACCTCGCGCCTTCCGCTTGCGCTCCCACCGTACACTTCCGACCCCACATTCTACGCAACTGGCCTGTTACACTTTGCGCACATCTTCCTGACTTTTGAGTCACTGTGGGCTGATCTGTTGCGCGACCATGTTCCAGCCTCGCATACCGCCTCCCCGCACCCCGCAGTCGACTCCGAAACCGCCTCTCCGCCATTCTCGCCACTGCTCTCGTATCTCCTCGTAAATCCATACGACTCACCTTCACTCTTCACATCAACCTTGGGTGCGCCGACTGCGCCTTCTCCACAACTTGCGGCCTTTCTGCAAGCGCTGCGACCGCGAGGGTTGATCCGGTCATCACGGCTAAAGAGAGATCTCGAGTATCTCCTAGGCGTCCACCCCACGGACCTCGAAGTCCTGCTAGCCAAATATCCCGGAGACAAGGTCGCCGACTTTTGCACACACATCCGAAAGAGCGTCAACGAGAAGCCTTGGACACTCGTCAGCTATGCCTGGTGTTTCTACATGGCCGTCTTCTCTGGAGGCCGCTGGATACGAAGCGTGCTCTACAAGGCACCACCAGGCTTCTGGCCCGAACAAGATAGTGAGCGCACGTCATTAGAAGAACGCGGTTTGTCATTCTGGCATTTCTTCGGTCCCCATGACGGAGAGGATATCAAGGCAGAATTCAAGTCGCAATTACTCGCTGCGGAGACTCTCTTTACACCGGACGAGCGCGTCGATATCATTGAGGAAGCAAAGAATATTTTCCGCCTCTGCGCTACACTGGTAGATGAGCTGGATGAGTCGATCGGCACCGATATGGTGCAATTCGTCGCGACACCCGCAGTTCATCCCGAGCCCAAGGCTTCAACCGAGAAAGCGATCCTCATCGATACCAATGTCACAGTTGTCGAAAACATGACCAAGTCCAATGACCCGTTCAAGACATTTCTCAGGAGGCCAGAAGTCACGGGTACCCTTGTCGCTATTGGCTGCCTAGCCGTGGTCACGCTGTTCAAGTTGCAGTGAGACAAGACGACATGCGTCTGACATAACGCCTGTTTCTCTTTTTGCTTTCATCACATGCTCATGAGCTTTGCTTTCCATGATTAGCGCTAATGTCTTCAACTGACACAGTGCGGTCTCTGGTGGGCAGGAACGAGGCGTCACGACTGCTTCTGCTTCTGTTTTTTCTCTTCATAGCATACGGCATTCTTTGGAGTTCAGTTATCTTTGGGCGGGCCAGGATCAGCCTGTCATTCGGTGGAGTTCTTTCCTACTTGACTTTAGTCGGCGGTTTACTTGAGGTTATCTCAAACGGTCAGTGCATGGTAATATGGCGTGCGATACCCCCTGTAGCAGTTCGTAGGATACATGCTTTAGTTTCGTTTTACTGTCAGCCTGAAGACGTCACCTGTAATGAGATGCTTGCACATGATAATCACATCACCCACATTGGCTTATGTTATCAAGGAGAGACTGTTTGTATTAGGTTTCTTTAGAGATCTGAGAATTACATGGATGATGTTGCCTGTCGCTGACTTTGTGCTCTGCTAGAAGAAAAAGGAAGACGCCTTGGTGGTCCTTACATGTTTTTGGATCTTTTGTGGTATGCCAGTAAGGGAATGACAAAAGAAACAACCTTCTCTTTCGGGTCACGCGGTTGTGCCGTACAGCTGGCCTTTTCGTTATTTCTTGCAGACTCCGTTCTTTTCTCCATTGGGGCATTTGCATTGCTTGTGCTGGCAAGTCTTTCCGTCCTTGCAGGTATCTCCGCATTTTGAGCAGTCTTCGTTCGTACCCCAGGTAGTCTTTTTGCACTTGCCGTTGCAAAGCTCTTCTTCTCCATACTTGCACTTCGGTACGCACTGCTTGTTCTTGCATGTCTTTCCTTCTGGACATTTGTCGCCACATTTGGAGCAGTCTTCGTCTGTGCCCCAGGTGTTCTTCTTGCATACATCTTTGCAAAGCTCTTCTCCATGCTTGCACTTTGGTACGCACTTCTTGTCCTTGCATGTCTTTCCCTCTGGGCACTTATCGCCACATTTGGAGCAGTCTTCGTCTGTGCCCCAAGTATTCTTCTTGCACACGCCCTTGCAAAGCTCTTCTCCATGCTTGCACTTTGGTACGCATTTCTTATCCTTGCATGTCTTTCCTTCTGGGCACTTGTCGTCGCATTTGGAGCAGTCTTCGTCTGTGCCCCAAGTATTCTTCTTGCACACGCCCTTGCAAAGCTCTTCTCCATGCTTGCACTTTGGTACGCACTTCTTGTCCTTGCTGCATTTTTCCCCGTATTTGCATGCATCTCCGCATTTTGAGCAGTCTTTGTCGGTACCCCAGTGTTTGTCCTTGCATTCCCCAGAACAAAGCTCCTGTCCATAAGGGCATTGCAACGTGCACTTCTTGTTCTTGCATTTTTCGTTGGCCTTGCACTGATCTCCACATGTTGAGCAGTCTGTCTCGGTACCAAGGGCCTTGCATGTTCCATGGCAGTCAGTAGACTTGTCAGCAGGGCATTTGCATTCCTTGCTCTGACAAGTCTTTCCTCCTGTACACTTTGAAACGTCAGCATGTGGAGCTTCTCTTCATCATCACACGCTTACCTCTTTGCAGACGCCACCACACGGCACTTTCTTGTTCGAAGCGGGAGCTGCAGGGCCGCATTCATAGCAAGGCCCCTTTCCCTTGAGAGACTGGAGAATGCAATCCAACCCGTAAAGTGGAGTATTAGCTCCACACCATGTTGTGCAAGCAGTAGTTCGTTTGGCCTCTGAATCGGGGAATGCAATACTAGAGCAAGCTATGCCGGAATATTATCAGCATGAATCGCTGATTTGGGTTTCTGTTACATCTGGAGTACTGACCGAGAAGGAGTAGAGCGAACACACTGAGTCTAGGCATCTTGAATCAAAGTTCGGTCAGGATTGAAGTCTGGTATGATGGCACTTCTCAGCGTGCTCAAATACATAACGCGAGATTCCCTCCTTATTTATGCGTTCGCCATGCGGCTCAGAAAGAGGAGTCGAGATCCAGAATTGTCTTGGAGGTCTTGTCAATAAGCCATCGTCAGCTTCAGAGCTGCTGGTCTGCAGTACCACATCGTCATTATGTTGAATCCGTCGGTCATGGCATCCGCATTTCAGTGGGTTGAGTCTGATCCATCTCTTTATGATTGGCAGGCAATTCGACGCCTCCAATATCAGCGAAGAGTTGTCGAGCGCACTAGGTTCGAGGTACTGTTGGAAACGTAATTAGAAACGTCGAGTTTGGGTCGCGGGAGATGGCCAAGAGCCTTCTATACTAGCCACGTCCATCTGGGTATGAAGGTTGGAATCTCACGACACTGACGATCAGCGAGAAAGGCGCTTTACATAGCGCTAATGCAATGCAGATCAGGTTCGAAGCAGTTCGTAAGTTCGTAGTAAAGTCTCCGCTACAAGCCGAACCCCGCTTCCAAGATATGCGGCTGACTTCTTAGTAGCAGCTAGAGCTGAAGCTGAAAAAGAAGACCTATGATGTGTGCAACATGTTCGTATAGCTAGAGCTTACACACAGTCACTATTCTTTCGGTCCCGGATATTGCATCGTGCGGAACCTGAACCCCGCAGTGATCTTGACCGCATTGAACTTTCTTTTTGCCGTTTCAGCTACATATCAGGACGGAAACCTCTTGGCATTTACAGATATGACAGAAATAGTCGAGCCAGCAACGTTTCCGCCAACCACAAGATCGACCAAGCTGTATTGCCAAGCCATGCGAGCAGCGCATAAGCCCTAACCTCTATCATCATGTCTTGGCTCAGTTGAAAATCAGCATGAACTATCTTAGATCTATGGCTAGCTTGCAGACACGCATGAGTCCAGCCTAGCCTCCAATCTTTGAGAACATAGATGTGCCTTTTTGTCTGCTGGAGGCATGAAGCCTGTAGGGCGATCCCCGTCTGCATTCCCACTGACCTGAGTTTTGCATATCGCGATCCCAAGTTATCTAGGTTCTGACTCATATCATGCATAGTGGAATGTGTTCCAAAGGAAAGACGGGTTGTATTCATTCTATTCAATGAGATTTAAGGAGATACAGATAATATGGCTGGTTTTGACATGTTTCTAAGGAAATAAAGAACAGTACACGGTCATCGTTACATGTTTTTTTTCTCATGTTTGATCAGGACAACGTTCGTATGCTTGCCGCCTCTTTCTTTACGTCTGTTTTTGTAGCGTTGTGGTTTGCCAGAAGAATGAAAAAACAAAGGAGATCTACCCCCCGCGACTAAACGAAAGCGAGCTTATAGCCTGGGTGCTGCTTGGTCCGTCTCATATCAAGTATGTGCCCTAATACGGATACAACTTGTTTCGGATGCTCTCATCGAAAGACCCATCCGTGCCATGGACTTTGCGCAAATGGGTCCGTAGGTCGGCAGCGCGGAAGTAACCTTTGCCTTTGACGCGGTCACAGCCTGGTTGCGGGCAGGGGTGTTCACATTCGTCATGCTCAGTGCGCATGTGGCTAACCCATTGTTTCGAAGATGAGAAGGCACTCTCAGCAGAATATCCTGCTACCCCAGCTGGCTCTGATTTAGTGCAATCTGATTTTGGACACCAAGTGCACCAGTGCATGGAAGAAGTGCTATCTTCGCCGATGTGGTGGTAGTTCCGAACGTGCTGGGTGAGATGGTCTTTGCGTTTGAAGCCATTCTTTCCTCTGTATTTCTTGCAATATCTGCAAGGGAAACGTCTGACGTCTGGTAGATGATCCCGTTGATGTCTCTTATATGTGTCCGCTCGGGTAAATCCCCTTCCGCAATTTTCTTGCTTGCAGACGAATTTGATGTGCAAGCCGTAAGCATGACACTCTAAACCGTATGCATTTTTGAAAACTTCCATACACTGATCGCATGTATGCATGTCCGGATGCATAGTCTGCATGTGATTTCTGCCATCTCGCACCGCGACGTAGCGATATTCACAAGACTCTACAGCACACTTACGTGTGTCGTAATGCGGCTGTGACTGTTGTGCTGCGAAGCTAGCAGGCCTGACCTCGACGACCTGACCTGCTGTAGAGGAAGAACTCAAAACAGTGCCAACAGTGTTACTATGATACCATTTAGTTTTGAATCGTTTATCAGTATTGGATGACCAACCTTTCAACAACGCCAATCTCAGGGACCGGGGTACTTGAGTAGCTGGTTACATCTTGGAGTGTAGCATCATCCCACGAGAGCTCAAACCCTCCAAGCGGAGCGGACATTACCGGGTTAAGCCAGCCTACATGAGTCTCGGAAGGAATGTAGTTGTTCGTAATGATATGATCCTGGAATCCTGTGTCCCAGTCGAAGATGTTCGGTGTCGTAATCCAGCTTTGAGGCACATTGTTCGCTTGCCGTGTCGACCAATCATCTTGATAAGGCTCGCAACTGTATTATACCACCCTTTTTGTTAGCAGAGTGTAAAAAAAAAAGCTCACCCAAAGTCCTGGAACTGGTAGTCGTCCATGATTGGGAAGGCAGAAGAAGACTACGTGCATCTAACCGAAAACGTCGAGGCGAAGCAAGCTACAAGTGTCGATGCGTTGGCAGTCGTAAAGCAGCGTAGGAGGGCTGAGGTAGTGTTGGTACGGGCAGTGCAAGACTTTGGTGAGAACCACAAGCAGGATGCTTCGATAATACATAGTCGCAGCCGGCCAAGCCTCTCGCTGCTTCAAGCGAGAAATGGAAAAGGGCAAGAGTTATTAGCTACTGCATCTTGGCTGCATGTCCAGCTACGTAGAGCCTGGATGATTGGCTGCGATGCGTGTAAGGGCCATGGCCCTTTTTTGGTGCGAAGGATGAACATAGTGGGGACTAAGAACTGAACGCACATCTACGGACAACCCACCCGCAGGCTGATGGTAGCCAGATATACTCTGGCAGCTACAGTAATAGAAGTTCTGTTATAACAAGCTGACCGGAATCAACATGCGAGCAAGGTCATTGGCCATGTCTTCAATTGCACTTGCTCTGCCTGGCCGAAACTCTACGACAAAGGAATCTAGTAGCAGACGATCTGGCCGAGAAGCAAAGTAGATGTGCAAAGCTTTCATGCAGTGATATGGGGAGGAATTGGCTACTGAGGTGTAAGTTAGAACCTGCTACCTAGGCATGCTTGCGCTGTAGGCTAACTTAACGGAGCATCCACTGCTAGCAAAATGATTGGCCAGAATGTGACGATAAGTATAACAAGAGATTATACAGATGGGGATATCTAAGTAGCATGACACATGTACTCATACAGCTCACGATCGAATGCGAAACCCATTGAGCACCATCGCAACTCTTTCCTTGTGATGAAATGATGCTAAAGCAATCTGACCAGCCCTGGAAAGCTGAAGATAACGCTAGAACGGGCGACTGCAGCCCTCTCAACTTTCTTGATGCGCTACCCTCCGAATGCATGATCTGGCGCAAATGGGTCGAAAGGTACCACAATCTGCTTCTTCCCAAACGCTTTCTTCAATCCTTCTTTCATCCTCTCCCATCTAGTCATTCCCTTCCTCTTAGCGTGCTCGAAGGTCATATAACTCTTATCAATTTCCTTCAGCCGTGTCGCCTCTTCTTTTTCAAATTGCTCAGCGCGCTCTCGTAGCCCATTGATAACGTGCTGACGAAGACGATAGTTGGCAAACGTCGTGTCGTGCTCTGGATGCAAGGCGAGTATCTCCGGGACCTTGTAAATAGCAAGACCGGATTCGTTGATTCGATGATAGAGGAAGGATTCAAGGTCTTCGGGGCACCAGGAGGGCTGTGCTGGGATGCCGACAAAGGTTGCGCGAATCGCGCGGACAATACCAAAGTCAGTTATCTCGCCAGCTTCGTATTGTTTGAGTAGGTTGCAGATGAGCTGGCCGCGGTATAAGAGGCGGATTTCACGATATGTCCACTCGCGCTTGTAGTCTGTTAGGTTCGGAGGGAGGAGCCAATTCTCTTGCGTGATCTTGTAAGCTTCATAGAAGTCGTTGAATCTGCTGCGAGCATTGGGAAAGAAGTATCCTTTCCAAAACTTCTGATCGTAGACTGCGGCTTCGACTAGGATACGAAGGTAGTGGTATAGCTCATGCTGACTATCACCGTTCGTCTGACGATATGGAAAGGATGAGACACCCCGGATAGCCTGCCGAGGGATGTCGAAGATGGCAGCTGCAGTGGTATTGCGCCGATGAGCATGCTTGTTTCTCGAGTCTTGAACATAATGTACACCCTGCTCAAACTCTTCTAAAGATACGGCGATAGTAGTGATGGACTTGGCTTGTGCTTTTGTAAGGATGCCTTCCTCACCAAGGCCATTCATAAAGATCTCAAAGTGCTCTGGCTTCAGTATGTGTCTACGGTCCTCAGGGAAGAGCTGTGCGACGATCATCTCGTGATCCTCGCTGTTCATAAGTCGACGCTCGACGAGCTCAGCATTGTTGACCACGGCATTGTATCGTATGATCCAGTTACGCTCAACAGAACCTTTGGGCATTTCGCTCGCACGGATACTTATACCGTTGACGTTGAAGGTGGCATCAGGTATATCGCCATCAGCGTGGCGGGCTTGAAGATGAAAGTGGGCATTGATCTGATCCATGATGTCGATATTAGTAGGACAGCCATCTGCTGCAAAAAAGGTGAGATCTTTGATAGCTTTGCGCCGACGTAGAGCCTCAATTTCCTGGTTTGCGGTTCTTAGGCTGGTTCGACGGAGGGTGGACGGAGAGAGACTACTCGGGAGACGAGCTATATTATGACCATCCCCGGTGCCTTTCTTCTTTAGAACAATTCCTAGAGGCTTTAGACGTTCGCTGGTATTCGCACGTGGCATAATGGCAGCATGGCGCTGCGCCAGCAGCTTTTCTGCTGCTCGCCTATCAGCCAAAGCGGCTTCTAATTCATCGGCGTAGGCATCGGGACTGTCGTGAGTCGACTCGACGGCCACTGGCTGGGAAGTTGTTCGAAGTACCGGGCGAGTGTCGGCGGGCGTGTCGGTGTCGGTTGGAAAGCCGAGGTCCGCTTGAGTATCGACGCCAGGTCTAGTAGGATGGGTCACAGACTTTGTCCGTGATGTAACGGAGGTAATGCTGACATGCCTTTCGTTGGGCATCGGCGTTTCAGAATGCGTGCTTGTAGGTGGTGTGATAGGTTTCGTGGGTAGAGTGCTCGAAGGAACCATGCTTGAAAGCATAGTAGTATCGTTCGCCGTCGAAGGTGAAGGAGGAGTTGAGGTAGCATACTGTGGATATATCAGTATTTGTCGTAATGAGAAATGGTTATCAGTACCGACCGTCTTCTGCTTAGGCGACTGGAAACGGTAGAGTCTTTTGGAAGTAGAGCTAGATGTAGCTGGTGCAGGCGTAGAAGTCATGCTTGGGATATAAAGATCAGAGCTTGGTGGGACACTGTTGTTACGGCGATGGTAGCCGAAGACCTTCTGGAAGCCAGCCATAAGGCGCGTGGAGTCGTCGCGCTTGTGACGCATCTTAGGGGCGCTGTTACTTCTATTTGTACTGATGTTGCTTTTCACGCCACTGCTGTGGTCGTTTTCAGCCAAATCGTTATCGTGGCTCCGGCGGGATGACTTAGCTGACAGGAAGGTCTTGAAGTTAGCCATGGCCGGTGTTAGAATGTTCCGGGTCCCTTGTTCCGGGATGTCGCTGAGAGTATGTTAGAGCTAGAAGATGAGTTGCCGATGTTAGTCAAGTGGTAGCTTGTGTGGGCAACATCGTCAAGCGTAGTATGGAAACGGTAAGTTGTAAACAACGCCAAGCATTTGTAACTTGATTCAAGACCTCGAGAAATCGCGGGGCATTGTGGCGAAAAGTGAAGGTGAAGGTGATATCAAAATGACCCGAGAACTACCTCGATAGAGCGTTGTGGCCGGGTCTCAGATACCAGCAAGGTAGAGGTGCATCAGCGAGCCGTCTGAGAAGACGGCATAGCTCCATCTACTTGCGGATACTCAAAATTGAGGTGATGGTTTGCGTGAGACTTTACCTGCCATTGGTACTCGTTTCACACATACAATGCTCACGGCATGTATATATGAGCCGACAGTCATCCTCACTTCGGGGTTTCGCTTTCACCAAACACGTCAATCCACCAGATGTCTGCCGAGCTGGATGCACTATGCAGATCTGCCACAACACATAAGTATCGCAGCCATGAAGACCGTATCCATCCAATGACGAGAATCCGCCTTCACGAGTCGAGCTCTTCGTGGAGAATGAAGGAAGGGCACAGAAGTAAAGACAGTCATGCAGATGGACACAGTGAGAACTACTGCATGACATGAAGTTGACTTGGAAGTGAAACACACGGGCAGTTTAAGGATAAGTATGACTTGAAAGATGAAAACCGAAAACTCCCCCAAACTCCTTGCTTGCCGAAGACTGATATGCGTAGACTAGGAAGACGATCACGACCCAATACACTTGCGCAAACCTTACTGCGTCCGTCCTACAATGGATGTTCCGACAGGACCGTATATCCAGAATAGCTTGTTTATACAAACCTCTTAAGCACCATGAACAGGAGCGCGACCACTACTCCGTAGATACAAGTGTCGATCCAAGCCAGGTCTGGACTGCGTTGGGCAACCTGTTGAGGCGGTGGCGCGGTTGTTGTCCTTGTAGGTCTCACTATAGGCACTGTAGGAGCTGGTCGCGATGGGACTGTAACTGGAGCTGCAGGCGCAGGTTCTGAGGGTGATGCAGACGATGCGGCTTCAGCAGAGCTCTCTACTGCCCGCTGCTTACCCTTATCCACCTTCTTGTCCTCTTCTCCTTCTTTGCCCAGCTCGTCGCGATAAGCTAGTCTCAACTCTTCGGGAACTTGCTCGTCCTTCCTCTTGCCATCCTTCTCCTCGATCTCCTTGACAAGCTCCTCCCTCTCTTGCATGATCTCGGCGTTGCTCTTGGCACAGCCCGCGCATTTCCATGCCCCGCTGTCTTTGGCCATACGCTCACGTGCGTCTCTGCTGCATTCGATGCCGCCGAGCTGTCCCTTCGCGTCTGTGTCCATGAAGCTTCTTATCGCGACAAGAGCTGTGCGCACGCCCCATGCTGGTTGCCATGTCTCTTCGTGATGGCCTGATATGCTTAGGCAGATTTCGCGATTGACTTCGAAGCGTCCAGTGGGTGTGAGGAAGCGGAAAGACGGCGGGCGGAGAGGATACGTGGATGGGAGAACTATGCGACCGTGGTAGATGCCGCCGGCATAGGGCGATGGCTCGGGCGGGCCGCGGATGGTAAAGTGCCACTCGAAGAGGTTGGTTTCTAGAGGTTCGGCATGGTAGTCGGAGGAGGGCGACGTGGAGAGTTCTGAAGCTTCCTTTACTGCGACACGTCAGCTACCTATCATTAGTCACCATCTAGACTCGCATACATATCCGCTTGATAGTCGGGTTCTTGGTGTTGAACTGCCCGCGGGTGGACATGATCGCGGCGGTTGTAGGTTGAGAGCACGGGGTATGAACAAGATCTCTATATAGTGTGACAAATGAGCAGGACCATGGGTGTATGTATATCAGCTACCTTGCTGTGCACGCGTTTGAGCGCATTCACCGAAATGCAACGTAGACAACCAAGACGCGGCTGCGTCTTTGGTAAGCACCGGCAACTGCTCGTAATCGATAACTTCGGCCCCACTAATAATTAGCTCATCCAACACATAGTAGTCAACCACTTTTTCGGCTTATGCGGGCTTGACATACTATAACATGACATCAGTCACAATTCTGGCTTATTCCATCATGTCTTCAACTGATCCCAACACTGACGATATGTCCGTGTATCATCCTCACGACCTGCTGATCGCGCAGTTCTTTCCTGATGAAGACATATCTTCTATGGGCTACGACTCAACAATGTACTCAGCATTGTACCAAAGTGCACGTATTCTTGAAAAGATGGGTGAAAAGCCTCCTCGGATCCCGTGGCCAATGCCTCCACCTAGGTCACCAGAGTTCTTAGAGGCTGCTGTCGAACAATGGCGAAGCGAGGCGCTACGAGCGATTGACTCGCGCGTAGCCATGTTCTCATCGGATGCTGTCCCGCATCATACTGTAGCTACACACGGTCTCCAGGCTCCTGCATCACCCAATCCCTCTGCTTCAGTGCATCGCCTTCTCCTTATACCTGAGCTGCTGGAACTCATCCTACGACAAGCAACCCCTCAAGCACAGCATACCGCATGGGATGTAAACCGTCTTTGGCGTAGGACGGTTGAACACATTCTGGCCTATGAGTACAGATCGTACCATCCCTGCTCCCCAGTTGAATATGGCGATCGCATTGATATACAGACAGGCATCTCGTGGATGCAGCCGTCCGACGACGAGATCGCGCATGTTGAGCAAGAGACCGTAACCGCGTCGCAAAGACCTCTGCACGAGCTAAGGCAAGTCTACTACCCAGCTAGAATCGTCCAAGCCAGCTCACTGTCCGGTGCTGCTTATCTGGCGATCCAAGACGCGTACGAGCGTCTCCAATGGAAGCCCGCAGAGACCGACGCTGTTGATCAAAGCCGGCGGTGGATAGACCTCAGTCAATTCATGATGAATCCTCACGTTGTAGAGCTCTTTGGTGACCGCATGCAAATGAAGTTAGGCAGATGCGAGATCGCGTTGAAGGCCGGAACTGGTCAGCCCCGCCTGGTTCAAGGGTCGCTACCCAGCGGGAACTTTGCAAATCTGATTGCTGATATGTTCTTGACGGAGCCTCCTTGCAAAGCAATAGGCATCTACATGACTCAACAGCACTCACACCATCTGCATTTACTTGTTACTGTATCTAATGAAGATGGAATCCGTGTGGGACAATTCCTAGACGCTCTTCAGCAACACGCAGGCAAGCTACTCACTGCATGGAGAGTTCAAGTTGAACACCTTCGACGGAAGATTGGGTGGTCACACTGGGCGGATTTCAGTACCACTGAGCAAAAACGTCTTCCGTGGATATACCATGGCTCTCCAAAATTCTTTGTGTTTTTGGAACAGATACGGAAACGCCCTCATACACGAGGGGTTTTTTGGTCATTGGCACAGCAGGCTTATACAAAGGGAGAAGCAACTGTCATTGTACCTAGGAGCGAATGGTTTCGTGATTCTGGCAACTGTTAGATTGGATCATGCCCAGCTTTCTGAAATGTTACCAGTTTGAACGATGAACGAGCAGCGTGGGTTTTCCTTTGTGCTCGAGGCATCCAAAGCTATCCTGCAATCTCCGTTAAACAATACTCCGAACTTCACACGCAGCTAGTGAGGCATCATTTGTCATTACTATCATGTGAACACTATTGAAGCGTTCTGCAAGAAAGCTTCATCGTGTCAGAGTGTTGATGTACGCAACCCCTTCAGCTCGATCGTCGTCCTCTTCGATATAACTCTGGTCTTTGCGGAACACAAAGTTCGTCGCATTGCTTGCATAACTCGGCCATTCGGGTATTTGAGGTACTTCACGATGTGTCAGTGCATCAATTAGTAGATGTAAAGCAGGCCAACTCACCACCGTGACCATTGGGATTCAGATCGTAAGCAAACGACGTCCACATTCGCATAACCAGCTTTGACAGCGCAATGTTCTCCGAGCTATTACCCAAGGGAGTGAGTTGCTGCTGTGTGTTTCCAAAGACAAATGGGATCTATCATTACTGTTAGCCCTAGGGTTTTTATCCCACTGACGAAGATGCATACCTCAGAGAAATGATTGACGCCGATCGCATCAGGCGTAGTATTGAACTTTGGTGCATCCCATCGGTACGAATACACACCATCGACAAATTCACTCATGCTTTGTGCAAGCCCTCTTCGCGGAGCATACATGGTCAGGTCAGTTGCGATACTTTGGTAGCGCTTATACTGAAGACCATACTGCGGCCATGTGCGGTTGCCCCATCCATACGGTTCGCCAAGTGCAGGGTCGTTGGGGTATAGCTCGAGCAGTTTCTCGGCAACTGTCTCGTTAACGTTCCAGCGCTTGGAGTGTACCATCTGATTGATGGCATCGGCGTCGCTGTTTACCCCGTTCACGCCAAAGCCTTCGTCGGTGTTCGTACCGAGGATAAGAGGAATCTTTGCGAACTTGCCCTCCCGCAGTGATTCTGAGCCGTATCGAGGTATCAAGCTGCCATCTATGACATGAAACCATTCGAGGCCCTGGTATCCGAAGGGTGCAATCGTCTCGTAGGGTACGTCGCGAAGGCATTGGAGCGTATCCTCAGCGTCAGTGCAGCCAACTGACTCGGTGAGGTTGTTGTACATGTTCTGGTACCAGTCTGTGCCGTTGAGTGGCGCACCGACAGCGCCACCACTTTCCAGAATCGCTGCGCGGAAGAGACCTTCGTCTTCACCATTGTATGCCGCTATGTGGTCGCCGACAGAGTACGCACCCGCCGATTCGCCCCAGATGGTAACCTTTGTGGGATCACCACCGAAAGAAGAAATGTGCTTATTGACCCATTGCATAGCGAGTCGTTGATCGCGAAGTCCTAGATTCTGCACACCAGCGTCCTTGACCTCTTCGCTATAAAGGAAACCAAACGCTGCCATGCGATAGTTGATTGAGATGCCAATGACTGGTTTGTCGTTCAGTACAGATTGCTGAACGATGTAGCTCATGTTGTATCTGAACACAGTTAGCATTTCATGTTCAGTGCAAGAGTGTCTCCGGGGACTATTTACCGCGGATCGCTAGTAGCACCCTGTTGCCATCCACCTCCGTAGATCCATAGCAACACTGGCAGATTCGTCTCATTTGTTCTAGGTTTGACGATGTTCAAGTGTAGACAGTCCTCTCCCAACTTCGTCAAATTCGCGGCTACCAAGGTGTTCGTATCCGACCCATAGCCCTTGCAATCAATGCCGTACTGTGTAGCATTGTGATATGTCGTAGGGGAGTCTTTCACTAGCTCAGCAGGTGCGAAGCGTACTGGCTTTGGAGCAAACTTGACGCCCAGGAACAGATCCTGATCGAATTCTGGGAGGTGGCGTCCTTGGTAGATACCAGCTTGCGAATGAACAACGGGGGATGAACCGAGGATACCGGTGGCAAAGCACGCAGTGACCAAACAGGATCTTCGAAGCTTCATGGCGGAAGGATCTGGGGAATTACACCATGCTTGCACAGCATGTGCATTCACTCATATACACCATACACCATCTCCCATCTCAAACCTCCCTATGAGCTTCCACGGAAGCCTCGTTCCTGAACATCCACCAATGGGGAGCATAGATGCATCGCCATTTACCTAACCGGCATTCGTTTACCGACCAGCGCGGCTCTAAGCATGCTTGTGTTCTTGGCAACGCTGAATCGATGCTTGGTCGCCTGGGCATGGAGCATAAAACTGGACTGGCAGCATTTTAAGCCTGTCTGTGCCAGCCTTGCGGCTGCTTCACGGTGAATTGGGAAGCTTGGTAACAGAGTCAAGTAAACGGCGACGTGCCATATTAGCCGGCGATGTGATGCAATTCGGTTGATGCAAATTAATCCGGGGTAGACATTCGCTCCACATTACCCCGCAAGCCTCGCGGTGTGCCGTTGCATAACGCACCGTCCACACGTCATTTATCCGGGATCTTGGAATATACCACGTGCGCTTCTTTTTGTGAAAAGACCATTGCAAAGCCCGAGATATCACCAATAAGACTTTCAACCCTGCAGTCTATCGAATGATTGGCGTCAGTCATACAACTGCATTTATCTCAAGCTGGGTTTCCTCTCAGTGACGAGGACATTCATCTGATCTTGCAGAAAGATACCACCGTAGTTTAATGATCTCCAAGGCTTTTCAGAGTCTGCAAGAGACCAATCGAAATGCCGCAGAAACTACCATCTAGTCAGTATCATGATTCACCACGGAAGATTATGTGACATACCTCGAAGATGGCTTTCCTAATCTCCAGCCATGCGATGGGCTTACCGAGACACTGGTATTTGCCATAGCCGAAAACCATTTCTGAAGTCCGGAGCATAGCGTTCAGACTTCCGCGGTGGGTTCCATCATCGTCATCGAGTAACCAGCGTTCTGGTCTGAAGCAGTCAGCATCTTCGCCAAAGATCTTCTTGTCATGGTGCAAGCCCCATGCGTTGTAGCTGATGTTCGTCCCGCCAGGGAAGAAATATTCCTTGCCGTCAAGGACGAATTTGTCACCTCCGACGGGAACCTTCTTTGGAACAACATCAGTGATGGGTGGGTGCATCCGAAGCCCTTCGCGAACAACGGCCTGCAGATATGGTAGACCCTTCAACGTCTCATCGGAAACAATATCGAAAGTAGTGCTAGCCTGACTTGAGGCAACAGTAGCGTCAATCTCATCCTGAAGAGTCTTATAGACCCTATGATGTGTCATCAAATAAAGCATCGTCGCTCTTATAGCAGTCGCTGTGGTGTCCGACCCTGCCAAGATCTGGAGCAATGATTCGGTGAGTAGATCGTCTCGATTCATACCGTGGCGTATGAACGAAGCAAGCATGTCCGAGCGACCGTTGGTAGGCTTCTCCAGACGTGAGTCAATAAGACCCCGAGCTACAGCCATCATCCTCCCAAAACCAGTTGCATCCTTCTCTGAGGGCCCGAGAATACGTGCAACAGGTGGCCAGTGGAGATAAGGCGTCAAACCAAGGCCAGCAACCACAATTATAATTGATAGCCCGTCTCTCCCGGAGCTAATGTAGTTGTCGACATCAGCATCAGCCTTGAGGTCTCCGAAGGCTTTGCCAAAGCCGATCTTGCTAATGACATCAAGGGTGAAGTACTGGATTTTGCTTCCAAGATCCATGGGCGTGTAACGCGTGGTGGTGGAAAGATATTTTGATCTGATCAGGTCGAGAAGCTGCTGCACATGCTCATCAATGTCTGATTCCAGGGAGAGATTTTCTTTGCCAGAGTAACCTGAAGCCATCTGCTGACGCCGCTTGGTGTGCTGAGCCTCATCAATCTGACTGAAGACATGGTCTCTGCCAACCTCTGTGCGCGTCGCAGCGTTGAACCATGTTGATCGAGTGTATGGCGAGCGCACCGCATTCATATGCGCCAGCAGGTCTGGCGAGGATGTGATCAAGTCGTTGGGGCCGACTCGGGCGATGGGGCCTGTTGGCGCTGTCAGCACTTGGGCAGGGAGGGGCGGGCCGCACAGGCGAGCCACGGCGCCTTTTCCGCGCTCTAACTCCTAATTCTCCTGAGGTTTACTCACCGTAGCGTTCGCCCACCTCTCTGTACCAGAGATGCGAACGTCGCCCCAGTATCGCACGGATGTGTACCAGTTCGGACCATCCCGTGGTAGGTGGTCCAGCGAAAGCTCGAAGCCGCCGATAGCCCAAATAGGCCCTCGCTGCGTAGGCCGCCAGAGCAACCAAACCTAACATCCATCTTGCCGCATAAAGCTGCGCAAACAAAGACATGTCGAACACACAATGTCAGCTCAGAAGAATAAAGGATGAACAGTTGAAGGAGACAGAGAGTGGTATTTCTACGAGCGGGGTCGCCTGCTTCTCCATGCATGTCAATACGGAAGCATGTTGCGATGCAGCAAGCGAAGCCGTGACTGCAGGTACCCTTGCTGAGTTTTGCTACCAAGACAAATGTCAGAACTACTGAGCATCCCAAGACCGATCACGAACGGTTGTTACGATATGCATATGCATATAAGCACTATTAGACGCCCGTTGGATAATTGCCAGCAGTCAGTCGTGCTGTCACGCCATGGCACAGTGGCATGATAAGAGGGGATACTCGCTGATCGCTCAAGACCACATCAAACTGAACCTGCAGCTATGCTATTAGACATAATCACTATTGGTCTAGCAGTCGCTTCTGCTTACGCGCTTCCCTACGTTGCTTCCAGGCAGCATCTTTCGGAGCTTCGTCCCAGCTATGACTACATCATCGCTGGCGGTGGTACAGCAGGTCTCACGGTAGCTGATCGACTTGCAGAAGCCTTTCCAGACAGTAAGGTCTTTGAATCGAGCAAAGGGAATTCATTAGTGACATGCTTCATAGGGACAGTCCTTGTCATTGAGTATGGCGAGGTCGAGTACGCACCCGGCGTTTTCGACCCCCCAACAACTGTATGGGGCGGTTCTAGTGCGAAAGCAGGATTCTTCAGTTTCAACTCACTACCGAATCCTGATATGGACGACAAAGTGGCGTCGGTCCTTGTAGGAAAGACTGTGGGCGGAAGTAGTGCTATCAATGGTATGTACTTTGATCGCGGATCTAGACATGACTACGACGCATGGGCCCGAATTGGAGATCCTGAGTTCAGTTGGAGTACGATCAAGTGGGACTGGGACAGCTTGTTTCCTTACTTCAAGAAAGTAAGTGCGGATACTGCTCATACATCTGGGATCTGACTAACTGCGATGCAGAGTGTGACCTTCACTGAGCCGACTCCAAGCGTGGCAGAACAGCATGGTTACACGTGGGATATGTCCGCTTACGGGGGTACCACACCTATCTTTTCAAGCTTTCCACCATTTTTGTGGGGCGATCTTCAAGTTGCCAGAGATGCTTGGAAGGATATGGGCATTCGAGCGTTAGAAGAGTGCGCTGGGGGTGACAAAGAAGGACTATGTTGGGCACCCAATTCTCAACATCCAATTACGGCAAGGCGATCACATGCCGGCTTGGGACATTATGAGGGTGTGAAGAGTTCCAGACCGAACTACAACTATGACTTGCTAGTCAAGCACCAAGTGATCAGGGTCGTTTATCCTGACGACGTTTCAAAAGGCCCACCATTAGTTGAGGCGAGATCTCTGGCGGGAGACGAGACGTTCAACGTAACGGCCAGAGTCGAAGTTGTCATCTCTGCTGGCGCATTACACACGCCTACCATCCTGCAAAGGAGCGGTATCGGACCCGCACCCTCGCTAGAAGCTATGGGCATCACTGCTGTACTGGATCTTCCTGGTGTAGGCTCAAACTTGCAAGACCATTCTTCGCCCGGTATATCATGGAATTGTAAGTGGATCCGCTCTTCGTTGATTGAGAACGACTAGACGCTGAATTCACTACAGACTCGAAGCCCGGTAACTTTTCCAACATGCCTTCGGATATGCTCAATCCTGCGTTTGCCAATCAAGCAGCAGCAGAGTTCAACATGACACCAGCAAGAGGCCCATACACATTGGCTATGAGTTCAACTGCTCTCTACATATCACTTCCCAATGTAACTGAAGAGTATATGAATATAATCAAGGAGATGCGCAGAGTTGCCGACGACGGCTCAGCGGCTTCTCATCTGCCCGAAGGGTCTCACTCAACCCTCATTGACGGCTACAAACGCCAACTTCACGTACTTGCGGACCTTCTTGAGAACTCCGAGGCTCCTAGCGTGGAAGTACCGTTTGCAACTGGGACGACCATGCGCCCGATCATTCTCCATCCGTTGAGTCGCGGCACTGTCCATCTCAATCTGACAGATCACTTGGCTCAGCCTATACTCGACTACCGCGCTGGATCTAGCCCAATTGACTTCTCCATCCACATCGCTCATCTCAGATGGCTTCGCAAGGTACTTGATACACCCACCATGCGTAAATATGGTGCTGTAGCAGTTAGTCCAGACCCAGCTATCCAATCGGACGAAGATCTCAAAGCGTTTGTTAAGGAGTCAATGGTGCTGTCACACATGCACCCATGCTGCACAGCTGCTATGTTACCCAGAAATCTAGGAGGCGTTGTAGGACCGGATCTCAAGGTCCACGGTGCAGCTGGTCTACGTGTTGTCGACATCAGCATCCTACCGTTCCTGCCAAGTGCACATACCAGCTCTACGGCGTATGCTGTTGCAGAAAAGGTCAGTAGAGAGAGACATCTGAACGGAAACTTACTAACGCTGAGTAGGCTGCGGATATCATTATACATGACCTATAAAGGTAGTACCATGGGTATTTTGAGATACCACGATATGTTTGGATAGGTTTTTTACAGTATGATACAGATTTTTATATTATTCAATATCTACGAAGATGTTACTAATCGGCGCTCGACTTTCACATCTGCAGATAGCCTTTGCAGCTCCTCACTCAGCTCGTCTGCCGCGGCATTTAGCTTCGCATTATCAAGAGCTTCCAATGCATCCAAAATGAAGAGCACGTTTGATGTTCCGTCGCTCAACGCAGTCCTCGAGCATTGCCTCCAGTTCCAGCGCCTGCAGGTCTAATTGTAGTCGTACAGAATCAGTATACGTCTCTCTCATATGCAGCTCGTACAGTGTCACTTACCACGCCGCCATCGTCACACCATACTGCTTCTCCGGGACTTGGGTGTTCAATGACGATTTCGCCGCCAGATTTCGTGTCAAAGTTTTCATCACCCTTCGCGCGTATCAGGAACGGGCTTCCTTGGTACTTATCCAGATCCTCGCCTCCCAAAGGAATCTGATGTTTGATTGAGATTGCGTTATATATATCCGTCAGTCGATTAACACGTGGTAAGCCTGCGTCAACGCGACGCAATAGCGCTTCGAGGCTGTTCATAGTCTTCTTGGGCTTTGCGCCGAAGGCCTTGTAGGCTTCTTTCCATTGCGCGACATGAGCAACATCATTGACTGGAGTTTTCGCAAGAGTTGCTTTGGCTGTGGTTTCGGCAGAAGATAAAAAGGCTTCGCTGGTTGCGTCGCAAGAGCCCGGTGGGATGTTAGTAACTACCATGAGCAAGGCGCGGTAGTCTGGTCGAAGCTGAAATATCTCTGGTGCAATGCGCGCGTTGGCAAGATAGCTCGAGGGATCCTGGATGCTTGCCATGTTTGAGGAGATTGTGGACAAAAAGCGAAGGTCAGCTGTGCGGCGTGCAAAAGACAATGATGAAGATATGAAGGCTGGTACGATGACGTGCAATGTGCGTGAAGATGTGTGTCTCAACATTTTTTTGAACCTGCTTCAATACTTATTCATTTACATACTGCTACAGTGAACGCTCTAAAACTACCATGTTAGGAAGCAGACTTCTACATTCGGCCACAGGGCGTACATATGAAAGTCTCTGTTGACATGTTGACATGGCCGAGTCTAGCCTCTTTCTACGGGCGTCTAGCGCGTTATCAGGCTAGTTTTAGCGCAAACCAAGTCACCATCGTACTTCGTACATCGTCGCTTGCATATTATAGCTTCCCAAAAGTTGCCATCCCCACCACTCAGCATGTCGTTCCTGGTCAATCCTTTTTCTCGATCGTCCCAAGCTGGAAACGCGTGGTTCTGCGCTGGTGCAGTGACGTTGTACCCAAATCTTGACGACTCTGCGCGCGTCGGTGAACAGCGCCCTTGCGGCGAAAAAAAGCATGTTCCAGGATGCCGAGTATTCCACGTGCCCCGCGATGACAGCTCCAAAGCAACTGAGGTAGCGATCGATGATTGGAAAGACCCTGAAGTCGGTGGTGATGCGAAAGATCAAGTGATGGTGTTTCAATACAAGGGAAAGTTTTGCGCTATCAACCACGTATGTTGCCACATTCGGTGCTGTACATCTGGCGCACATGTTAATAATAATAATTGCAGGAATGCCCACACTCATCATATCCACTCTCTAATGGTACGCCCTTCGATATTGAAGACTTTGGCGTCGTGCTGAGCTCGGGGATCCAATGTCCCAAGCACGACTGGTCTTTCGATCTGCATACCGGCCGGTCAGATCGCGGGAGCTACAGGCTCCAGATTTGGGAAGTTCAGCAAAGAGCAGGCAGTGAAGGCGATGAACTATGGGTCAGAAGGAAGCAAAGAATCGGATGATTTCACGGTATCGCATGCGCTATGCTCTACAACTTGATACCCGTAACCTCGAAAGTCTGCACCATGTTCTTCTCAAACTTCGACCAAAACTTTGTCCCGCTGATCGTAGTGTCGAGATGCTGCACGTACCGATCACCGCTGCCAATCTGGGTGCTCCACCGTGAAACGGTTGCCCCGGATGAAGGACGTCCCGAGAAGCCCGACAATTCGAAATTTAGGTACTGCGCCGCGTCCCAGTTCACGGCTACGATAACCAATAATGACTTGCTCGCATCGTAAGCAGCAACGACGTTGTCCCGGCCGCCATCGAGGATCCGCATTCCTGGGCGCATATGTCTTGCAAATTGCGCCAGTACATAGTACTTCTGTGTGGATGAACCCAGCGTTTTCGCATCGTTGTCCGCGTCTATCAACCCCCACCCACCTTGGTCCAAGACCTGCCAGTACTCCCATGCTGTAGGCTTCAATTGGCGGAGGTCCTGGAGGAGGTATCTAGCCATGTTCTCGCCAGAGGCCACACCGTCACCGTATTCACTGTTCCAGAGAGACTTTCCAGCCTGTGTAGCTAGCGTATGGACACCAGCGCGATCACCGCTTCCGTACTGGTAACCATGCACGTTGATCCTATCAATCTTGCTGAGTGCATTGCTACCAATCGTCTTCAGGGTGGTAGCAGCTTGGTCGTAGTACGACTCATCAGATGCCGCAATCTTCGTTGACAGTCCGCGGCTCGCGAGATGTGTATCGAGGAAGCCGACGATCTTGGCCTGGGTGGATACGTCGACGTGGCATCCTTCTTGCGTACCGTCTGCTTTCCACCAGTTGGCGCTTGGCTCGTTGAACGGATCCACGGTTTCGAACTCCACACCCCAGTTATCCTTGAAATGCTTTGCTACATTTGCCATGTAGATTGCATGCTGCTCCAAGTTCCACGATTGGATGTTTTCGCTACCGTCCGCTGCACCTGAGGGGTTGTGGTTCTTTGTCATCCTAAAAGCAGTTAGTCTACCTCTCACATATCGCTCATGTTTGATAGCTACATACCACCACATCGGCGAGTTCGAGAACAACTCCGTTCTATCCGCTCCACGTGAGATTGCCTTTTGGAGCATGGCTCGTTGTTTGACGTCAACGGACCTGGAGAACAACCAGTGATCAGTAAGGAGACTCAGAGCAAATGAAGAAGGCGGGTATCATACCAGTTCCAGCTTGAGGAGGACGAATCATTGCTCTTCCAGTCTATCCAGTAACCCTCCATCTGCCTCGATCTCTTCACGTTCGGCGATACTACCATCTTCTCCCCGTCGACGGCATTCCAGCTACAAGCACCCGCATTATAGCGTACAATGTTGAAGCCGAGTCCTGGGAGGGTTTCACCGTTGAATTTTGTTTGCTTCAGCGTGAAGAATATATCCGCAAGGTCATCTCTGTCGCCGAATTGTTGCGCCCACCATGCCAGCGAAGTACCCCAACCTTCCCACGTACCCCAGTTGCTCTTGGGGTCGATTGTAGTCGTGATATCGGCATTGACAGAGTAACTGCTGGCCAGCACCAGGGCCGTTCTGAGGAAGGTTGATGTGCGCATCGTAAAGAAGTATCGAGTGAGGCTGCTATCGATCACTACATTCTTTCATCATTTTCACACTCTCCTTAAATACGGCAGTCGATCTCAATGTCAGCTTCTCATTCCGGTATCGCGTCCGCACACACCATCTGGTCACTAAGAATACACTTGGCTCTTGGAGCATGCGGGAAGCGGGGTAGTGTATACACGATGCTATAGTACTACCTCGGCGCTTGGTGGCTATTTGGGAATGAGCTCTAGCAAGGACCGGTACACGACAAACCAGTTACAACTTCGGCAATACAGACAAATCAAGCGATTTCAAAGTCCTCCACGAATGAGATGATTAGAAAATAAATTCAAGGTGGCCGCGTGATAGACATCCAAGGAACCGGATTACTTCCGGAGTTACTCCGCGAACGAACTTTCGGTTTGCTGTGGGGCGGAAGATTTCGGTATACAAGTTCTTCCGCATTTAGACACTTTGAAACCTTGCGATGACGGCACTGCCACACATGCCGAAGCCCAATGACTATTATACGATGTGTTTAACGAAATTGAGTGATCCTTCCGCGGATAAGGTTCGGGTGTGGAGGCGGACGCTAAAGGGCTTGTCCCCACTATGCTTGCCACCGATCACGAGCTGTGGAGTGGAGAACATATCGGCTGACGGACTAAGTAACATCCGCGGTGCAATAGGTACGAGCTAGTAAATGCAATCACAATAAACTGGCATAACTAAGCAAATGTATTCTGCCTTAGATATGGTAGTCATCGCGCAAAGAAGAAGGAGTCAAGGACTCGTCAGATATTACAATTTATTGTACGTGACTGTTCGCACATATACTATGATATATCTAGAGAAGCTTTGCAGCTCCCGCAGTTGAGTTAACACTTTCGGTCGTATTGCCAGCAACAATACCATTCTCATCTGCCTGGTTTAGCCAAGCAGCCTGAAGTCCCCAGACACCTACGCTGGCCGTCACTGTCTCGTTCAAGCCCGAAACCCTCAGCATCATCGTGTCAAGAGGCTGTGTGGGGAAGAAGACCGAAGTCGCACTGAGTTCGCCACCGTTCAGGAAGATCTCGATAATGCTCCTGTCAATGATGCCAGAGATCCTCCACGATCCGTCATCCTCGTTGTAAAGACCTGTAGCAGTGAATTTATCGGTGAAGTAAGGGCTTTGGAAAGCGTCAGTCTTTCCGCGGTCTAGCCACACGTCGCCGGATGAGATGAAAGTGCCACCTGAAATTGACTCTCCCGATACAGAAGACTGGAAGGTGAAGCTGATAGATCCGGCTAGGGAAGGCCCACCAGTGATACCGGTAACATTGGCCTCGAAGTAGAGCGCGCCTGACTCAACGGTGGAGTAGTCAACAAAGACGGTACCGTTACCAAGGGAGTCGTTGGAAGCCAACTCCGAGTCGACGATAGACATGATGTTTGACGGGTACGAGATCAGCGACAGACCCTGGCGAGGGAGATCCTTCAGGTAGTGGCCTCTTGGCACTGTCATGACACTCCTGAAACCATCACCTACAGCCTCGCCAGCAGTGGGAACGACGTTGGTGTATTGCCAGTTGCTCGCCCAGTTAAGCGTAACCTGGTCTTCCTCGGCAGGAATACCATAGAAGAACTGTCCAGCATAGTTATCCTTTGCGAAATCCGTGAGCCTAGTGCGCGCATCGTCGGCTTCGAAATGCGTGCCGTTGAATGTTCCAACAAAGTACTCTGTGATAGATCCACCGAGCGGTGCACCCGGATTGATCGAGATAAGCATAACGTATTTGGATTCATCACTGTCGGTGGAGTTCTCCACGCGCATCTCGACCATGTTCGGGCACTCGTACTGCAGACCAGTGATACCGTAGTGAGAAAAGTTTGACGTAGGTGTCCAGTCGATGAGATTGGGACTAGTAAAAATGCCGACCTCGAAGTCGACGGGGTACGCCACAACCATGACCCAACTCTCGGTGGGCTCATACCAGATCACCTTTGGGTCACGGAATTGGGTGGGGTTGGTGCCACCGGGTACGATGACAGGGTTGTTCTCATATTTGGTAAAGGAGTAGCCGTTGTCATACGAGTAGGCAATGTGCTGAGTCTGGTTCTCGGGGACATTGATGGTGTAGATTGCGACCACGCCGTTGGTCTGGTTTGGGAAGAAACCGCTGGTGTTATTCGAATCGATGACAGCTGATCCTGAAAAAACTCCTTCTGTGGGGCCACCAGGGAAAAGAGCAATGGGCTGGTTGGTCCATGTATAGAGGTCTTCGCTAGTAGCATGACCCCAGTGCTGGTTGCCAGCAACGTTTGCGGTAGGGTTGTACTGATAATACAAGTGGTATACACCATCTTCATCAATATACATGCCATTAGGATCATCTGCAAGAGGAGTTGAATGTTAACAGTGGTCTCATAACTCTCGTGTCTTTGGAAACTTACTCATGAACC